CGATATCAAGCGCTATGCTCGTGTAGAAAAGATACCGGGTGGAGAGATTGAGGATAGCGAGGTCATTGATGGAGTCATGCTCAACAAGGACATCACCCACCCCAAAATGCGGCGGAGAATAGAAAACCCAAGAATTATCCTTCTGGATTGCCCTCTTGAATATAAGAAGGGAGAGTCGCAGACGAATATCGAAGTTTCGAAAGAGGATGATTGGAACCGGATATTGCAAATCGAGGAGGAGCAGGTTAAACTTATGTGTGATGCAATTCTTGCTCTGAAACCGGATCTTGTGATTACCGAGAAGGGTGTATCCGGTAAGCTAACCCGCTGGTTATGCAATTAAGTTGCAGGAACTAATCAGTTTGTAGATTTGGCGCAGCACTACTTGGTCAAGGCGAATGTCACTGCGCTTCGACGTGTTCGCAAGACTGACAACAACAGAATTGCCCGTGCAACCGGTGCAACGATCGTTAATCGAGTGGATGACCTACAAGAATCAGACGTCGGAACTCGATGTGGCATTTTCGAAATTGAGAAGATCGGCGACGAGTACTTTACATTCCTCAGGAAATGCACGAGCCCTAAAGCTTGCACGATTTTGTTGAGAGGCCCTTCAAAAGACATTCTCAACGAAATTGAACGGAATTTACAAGACGCGATGTCCGTTGCAAGGAATGTCATTTTCCATCCTCGTCTCTCACCAGGTGGTGGAGCAACCGAGATGGCGGTATCGGTGAGATTGTCGCAGCTGGCAAAATCCGTCGAAGGTATTCAGCAGTGGCCCTACAAGGCTGTTGCAGATGCGATGGAAGTGATCCCTAGAACACTCATCCAGAATGCTGGCGCCAGCCCTATTCGCATCCTTACGAACCTAAGAGCCAAACATGTCGAAGGTAACAACACCTATGGCGTTGATGGAGATACTGGAGAAGTTGTTGATATGAAAGAATATGGTGTGTGGGAGCCTGAGGCAGTCAAATTACAGAGCATCAAAACTGCAGTCGAGGTAAGTGTTTTTTTCAAAATCTTTGTCCCACAACATAATGTCATCTAACGTTCCTTGCTACAGTCCGCATGCATGTTACTTCGAGTCGATGATATCTGTAGTGCCAAAACTCTGAAGCAAGCGGCGAATGTTGGCGGTGGTGATGAATAAATGACTTAGAGCTTTTAACCTTTGGATGAATCTTTTCCCACCTCACGCAAATCATTCAACAGCATCTAGACCTGTATGATAAGCGAAAAATTAATTAAATACAAATACAAATAAAAGCAGCTATGTGGGTATCATATTATCTTTTCCTTATCACCTAATTCGTAGCATCGCGTTGGACTGCAATTCCTACTTCCTGTCTCTTCCAAGGCAACCGAATGAAATAATGTAACCCCAAGATCAATCAGTCATCATCGTGAATTATAACACCAAGTTCTTCCCTAGGTCCATCTGTAGCGTTCTCCGTTCCAGACACCTTATTCTCATTCCCATCCGCGCCTCCATTGGCATTCCTCTCGCCATTCCGCTCCCGTGGCATCTCAGCATCAGGACCGGCAGCCGAAGGGGCCGCAGCACCTTTTTTCTCCTTCGCCTTCTTCTTCTTCTCCCTTTTTCTCCGATTTTTCTCCGTTCTCTCCTCATCCTTACGTCTAGCCTCCTCCATTCTCCGCTCGAACATCTCATCCGCTTGCTCCATCTTCAATTCGTGCTCCATGAGCTTTAGGCGTTCATATTCCCTTCTTCGACTGGCTTTGTAGACGTGGAACTCTCCAGAACCCGCACCGGCCGAGGAGCCCTGAACGTTAGCGACTATTTCAGGCGGTGGCGCTAGGGACGCGCTTGTGCGTGGTTTGGAGGGGGCAGGTATATGGATGTCCTTTGAGGGGTCTTTGAAGAGAGACTGGATTTGGGTAGCTTGTTCAGAGACGGGGGTGAGCGCGCGGCGTTTTAGGGGCCGCTTGCTGCGCGGATCTTGACTGGTCGGGATGGATTCGGGAATGGGTTCGGACATTCTGAGAGTGTTGTACGGGTAGTCGTGGGAGGCCCGAACTAATCGGAGGGGAACCGTAGTTTGAGTTGCGCCGCGTAGGCTCTGGGGGTGAGAGTTTGCCAAAAGATTGCGAAAAAGCGGGAACTGTAAATTAAGCTAGATCATTTATTTGTCGCTTGACAGAGCTGCGTTAAATGTGGTCAGGGTAGATGAAGATACCGATCTTGAGTGATAGACGGGAAATTTTTGAAGTCCCAAAATTTAGAGTTCGCCGTTCAAATCGGGTTTAGCGTTATATAGCTATTCTCAAATAGCTGCACAATTATTTAAACAAAACGCAAATAATACCTAGGTATGATGAGGCATTTAAGGTCTTCATTCCAGGGAAAAGGGAACCATTTGATTTAAATTCTCAGGAGGGTGCCGTGGCGTTAGTTACTAATAATTCCCTTAAAAATGCGGGCGGGCTCTTATCGGCAAACTTTGGAATGACGTTGCCTCGCTCCCACGACAGCTTATTTAACACCCAAAAGGTTGTCCAGCGCCGCACCGTTCATGGATCAACATTGGCATCTCTCTTGTTAAAAATAAAATAGAAAATAGAAAATAGAGAGGAAGTGCATTGGATTTGATAAAATTATCTCGTCTCCGGTGGTCTTCCGTGGTGGATTCGATTCGGCCTTTCTACACCATTTACCGTTCAGCGATGCCGACATATCGGATTGGTATGTGTCTTCAACCTTCAACTCCTCCAATTTTATTTTCGTTAATATGCAGAACTACGGAAGGTATCTATCTGCCATGGTAGACATAGCTAACCTCTTTCCTCATTAAATCAGAGGAGGCCAGCACGAGCAGGGCCGGGTGCAAGAACAAAGAATGCCAGGAGAAAAAAGAGAAGATCTTGAAGGGAGAATTACGCCTCGGTACTTGGGTTGACACTGAGAACTTTCAGAGCTGGGCTTGGAAACACTGGTAACCCTCTCTTAGCTTTTGATGCATGATTTTTCTGACCCTCCCTCAACAGGGGCTGTGTCACTCCACGACAGATTGCAAGCATCCAAGAGATAGTGGGCGATGAAAGGGACTGTACTCTGATCGACGGATATGATGAAATTTCCGTCGACAATCAAGAAAAATTCCGTGAAGCTGTTGCGCAAGGACATGTGTCTGACACAGATTGGAAGGGGGTAAGTTGATATAGCTGGACCTTTACTCTACGAAAATGGATCACTTATACAAATGTATTCAATTTATCAAGGACGTGGAAGTGAATCGCCCGGGAAAATCCGGATTCCGGGTTCGAGTTTCCAAGGAGAAAAAGGATACCTACGTGAGTACTCATCTATGCCATTACCAGCCCGTTTAATGGTTTACTGATCCTGTTGCGTTAAAGGACGATGCTCCTCAGAAGGGTAATCGCACCGGGAGAAAAAGGGCTGTTGAAGAGTTGAGCGAGGAAGAAGCTGAGCCAGCTCCAAAGAAAGCGAAGACAGCTAAAGCGGAAAAGGCTGCAAAGACTGCAAAACCTCCCAAGCGCAAGAGCATCGCTGCGGATGCGGGTGGGGTGGATGACAGCAAAACCGAGCAACTCACGAGCCCTAGGGGAAAGCCGACCAAAGGACGAAAGAAGAAAGGTACGGACGAAGCTCCCGCTAAAGAGGAAACTTCCCCTACATCAAAGGCTCGAGGTCGACGGCTTAAACCCAAAACATCTAAGGCTGTAGAAGTTGAAAATTCCATAGCCCCTGACACCACCTCAGTAGAGGCTGCCGGGGAGACTGTTAGGAAGAATACCAGAAGGACCCGTTCTGGACGAAAGACTGGTTAGTATTAGGCGACCGATTCGATTTTATCTTGTCGTTAACCCTACCGTCTACTACTTTTGGTTCGGCATGGTGAATGGTTCGGATTGCCATATCGGCATTTTTATTCTGGTTGGAAATCTTGTCATTACTCAGCCGTCTGTTCGAGTTTCGCTGATTTCCTCGGACATTTGCAATCTTAATTCTGCCAATGAACTTCTGCTATACAACTCTATCATGAGTTGAGGTTTCCCATCAAGTTTTCCGCCGCCATGCTGTGTGTTTATATCATTGTTACCATTTTACCTTCCAACGAAGAGACCTAGCGCTGTTCTATTGTGTCACTACCGAGACATCTTTCATTGCGTCATCGGATATGCCATTATGTGGTAATTTCCAGTTTGTTTCATTCCTGGTGCATTCCGATGGAAGAAAGATCCCTTTTCTGCTGTAGTAATATTACTGCAAATATTGTGTGTCTAATACCACATAATGTCTCATTCCTTATTTCCTAATGTTAGCAGGTACTCTATTTTATGAAGATTTCTAATTTGCATCTGGATGCGCACAAGTTCACGGAAGGAATTACAGTCCTTATGATCCGCCAGGACCGCTTGGTTAAACTGTACAGCAACTATATTCCACCGTGGCATGTCGGGAACCCGATATTGAGGTGGTATCTTTGCCCGTCCACATCTCAAGTCCACTGCAGGAGCCCCTGGATGACTAAACCACAACGTCCTCGCGTTTATTTACTGCCTCCATGGACAATTACAACCTCAATCACAGAATAATACACCAACACAACACGTTTCTGGCTTGCCTCTAAATCACTCCTGTTCGGTCGCGCAGCCCAATGCAATAAATAGTGAAGTCTCCTGAAATTTACATCTATATGCTCTCTAGCCAATGTTGCCCTCCTTTTCTTGCTGCTCTGCCCTGAGTGTTGCTTTTTACTTTTCACTCTCGTTCCATTGTCTTCTTGAATCCTAAACACATGCCTTCACCTTAAGCTGATGTTAATTATTTCTCTTTTCCTCTCCAGAACCAGATAAACTTCACTATCTCAGCTCTAACTTGTGCGACCCACAAGGAGCCCCAATTACTTCGCGGTGACGCGCCTTCCAGAACGACTTTTACAGCTACACATTTGTCCTCACCAGTCCTTTTGTTTTGAGTTGTTGAATGGTTCTCTTTGGATAGCTTGATCATGCATACAATTTCGATATCTCCTGAGGACACGAATGTCAAAGCCCATGTTTTGCCAAAATCACTCAAAGTCAGCAATCTGAAAAGCAGCGAGCCCCAACCTGTTTCTGAATCGACCAACTACCTGTCTCTTGCGCCGCGTAGTACGCCTATAGATGGAAGACATTTTGAGAATGATGGCCCCGGCCATCTTGCTAATGCTGGGGCTAGGCATGACAACGATTTTGTCAGAATTAGGAACATACACATCCTTCCGACTGCGGATGAAATATTGTCCCAGCGCGGCCCATATATGCCGTTTAAACCGTTTAACCAACCCCATTTTCTTCCCCGAGGGCCAGAGCGCCTAATTGATACGTTGTTTCGCCACCTAAGATACGAAAATGTGGAGGGACTAAAGGATTGTGTCTATGTCGCAGCGCAAAAGTTACTGACAATTAGCAGTCACGGTTCTGATTATGAACCATGTGAGGATACTCCAAACGGTAACCGATGCTACTTGTTCTGGGAAGCTGAGTTCGAAGAGCTTCTTTTCCATGACCGCCAAGGGCTCATGGTCCGCATTAGTTACCTATGCCCGAAAAAGCTACGTGGACGAAAAATATTTAATTCCGGAAGGTTCGAAAACGGGATGGTTGTGGCTCTAGTTGGGCTTGATAACGAGGGAAATGAATTATCTGTGGTTTTTTTCGAGGCTTACTTGAGTCAAAGCACCGATTCTATGGTTTCGCGCGGTGGAAAGGGTGTCAGAGGTAATGTGAACAATGTCCCCTCTACTATCAATAAATGCTGACAATTCCAAAGCCGCCGTTCAGCTACGTTTTGCTCAGCCAGAAAATATCGATGACTTACGGCGAACTGTGCGTTACTCTCAAGGGCTTGCTAGTGGTCGCTTCGTTCTTGTCGACTTTCCAAGGCGACTACTAAATGGTTTCTACCCAGTTCTAAACCGGCTTCAACAGTTACAAAGGTCAGATTTAGCGTTCACTCGGTACTATGCTCCGAGAAGAGAATCAGAGGAAAATGTTGGCCTTCTACCTCCGTCGTATTCAATACTTGAAGGAGCGGTGATAGATTTTAAAAATCCAAGCCAGGACGCAATCTGCCGGGGAAAGCCACTACGGGACCTTATTGCAGATAAAAGTGAATTTCTCCAATTTCTCAAGGAAGGTACTGGGCTCGACGAAGGCCAGGCTATCGCATTTGTGGAAGCCATGAATAGGGAACTTGCATTGGTTCAAGGCCCTCCAGGTACTGGAAAAACCTATTTGGGTTCTACTCTTGTACAAGCGATACTCTCCGCAGTGGGCTCCTCTCAAACACCTATCTTGGTTGTCTGTTTAACGAATCACGCTCTTGATGCTTTTCTGAAAGAGCTCCTTGAGAAAGGTGTAAGGAAGATAGCTCGAATTGGGGGTGGAAGCAGGGAAGATTGGACGAAAAAGTACAATTTGAAATCTCTTGTATCTTCAACCAAACTTAGGCAAATTGAGAGACATACTAGGGCGAAGGAGTACGGAGCAGCCAAAGGTATATTTGCTTATATACTTCCCCTAGCCTATCAATGCTCCAACAATCCATTTGCTTTTGCTAACCAGCATCTAGACCTTGCCATTGACGGATCAGACATCTGCGAAGCTACCAATGCCCCAAACAAATTAGGATGGTACACAGTATCCAAACATCTACGTGACAACTACAAGGATGTATACCGCCAGTTCATGCTTGCAGCGAGGACTGATGACCCACTGCAAAGCATGGGTATACATAAGAGAATAGGCGGATTCCCGTATGCGCTTTGGAGTTCCGGGGGAGACCTGGAGGTCTTGGCTGAAAGCGTGAGCGGAGATTTTGCCATGTTCCTAGGGAGAAACAGCATTGAAGGAAACGATCGGCAGATCGACCTTGGAATATTCTACCATGTATTGCGGGATGTATTATCCCAAATGCGACAGAACAGTTGCGATGCCATGGAAAATATTTGGATGCTTTCACATCGAGAGAGGTGCGAACTAATGGCAAAATGGGCTTCTGAGATTGATCATGAGGCGACTGCAAAGGATATTGTCAACATTCATCTCCAACACCAAGCCGCAGTGTCTCGGCTGCGGCTTGTTCGTGAGGAAATTGAGGCGCGCTGTCTTTCTATGCAGGAAGTTGTGGGATTGACCACCACGGCATGCGCTTCCAAATGGTCCCTTCTACAACGCTTGAGATTACGAGTTGTCATTTGCGAGGAAGCTGGGGAAGTTATGGAAGCACATAGTCTTTGCACCTTGCTACCTTCTGTAGAGCATGCTATTTTCATTGGCGACCCGCTTCAACTTCGGTAAGTGACCCCTATCCCGGCGTAATACTATAATAACTGATACAGTGTGCTAGGCCTCAACTCGTAGAACAATCTCTGTCCTTAGAAACAAAAACTGGGTCCCTGTATCGACTGGACGAATCTCTTTTTGAGAGGCTGACGAATAGCAAGTCTGGGATTAAGACGCTACCACATTCGATTCTAAGTGTCCAGCGCAGAATGCATCCAGATATATCACAGATTGCTAAAAGCACACTCTATCCACGGCTACTGGATCACCCCTCGACCAAGCTACACTCTGCTGTTGGCGGGCTGAGAGATAGAACCTATTGGTTCGATCATAGGATTCCCGAGGACCAGTGTTTTGGATTTTCTAGCGCAACAAAATCGTTTTCAAATAGATTTGAAGTTGAAATGGTTTCAGGATTGGTTCAATATTTGGTCCAGAGCAATGTATATGGGCTAGGTGACATAGCAGTTCTAGTAAGTGAGCTTCTCAACGGTCAGTATCACGCTAACTCTGATAGACACCGTACAGCGGCCAGCTAGCGCAATTAATCCAAAGTTTGCATCGTTCATGTAGCCTGTGGCTCAGTGAAAGTGATAAGGAAGCTCTTCTCGAGGGTTTCCTCACGGATAAGGAACTGGAATCGCCAGGGCCGGTGGACTTGGATATGGCCGGAATGTTGCGCATATCAACCATGTAAGGTTTTCCAGACTCCGTTGATGTTGTTTCGTAGCCTGATGTCCGCAGTGATAACTTCCAAGGCGAGGAGGCTAAAGTGGTTATTTTGACTACGGTGAGGAGCAACCCTGAATGCCGTCCTGGGTTTTTGAAAACGATAAATCGGATCAACGTGGCATGCAGTAGAGCCCGTGATGGATTCTATATTTTTGGAAACTCGCAATCGCTACAGATCGTTCCCATGTGGAATGATATTATGTGAGTTCCTCGCTAGTTCAGTTCTCTTGGTGTCACAACATTCTAACTATATTTGTGCCGTTTTCCGCGTAGACAACTATTCCGCTCTCAAAATAGACTTGGGATGACTCTTAAAATACGGTCATGTTCTCAAAATCTGAGCCATGATCCTGGTTACTTTCCCGTTCAGCAACCAGAAGATTTCGCCAAAATCCCTCCTTGCCAGGCGCGATGCAACCAACTTCTCCCCTGTGGACACATTTGTACTCAAAGGTACGGACGGAAGAGAGCGAAATGCCACAAATCCTTTTCCAATGCTAACGCAAGGTAGCTGCCACCCGCTCGAGCTCCATGCGTCTTCTATTATGAAATGTGAAGCAAAATGCAATAAAGTCCATGAAACATGCAAACACCCATGCACGAAGGCGTGCTGGGAACCCTGTGGATCTTGCATTGCCTCATCAAGCAAAAGGAGTCTTCGTTGCCGACATGATATAATGATTCCCTGTGCAGAACAGAAGTCCAACATTCCTCCATTATGCCAAATTGTTGTTGAAGAGTTAACACTACGCTGTGGACACAAGTTTTTGGTTATCTGTGGTTTTAGAGACCAGGAGCCTTTATGCTCAGAGGCTTGCGATTTCATTCTCGACTGTGGTCATCGGTGTGTAGGGGTATGTGAAACTTGCCACAAAACCGGGCATGCTCCATGTGCTCAAAAATGTGGCAAGAAGCTAGGGTGCCATCACAACTGTGATGCGGGGTGAGTTGGCCCTCGACTCGCCATTTTCTATGCTTTTTTATCTGATTCAAGACTTCAGGTGCCATGAGAATGAATCATGTCCCCCTTGCCAGCAACCATGTCAGGAGCGATGCTCCCATGGCAGGTGTAGAGGTAAATGCAACGAGCCATGTCAGCCATGTCTTCGAGTAACGAACACCAGCGAATGTTGTAGCAATAATGGCCTTTATATATGTGCACTCGATGTCATAATCAACAGGAACCCGCAGAAACTTACAAGCACTGTTGATTGCCTCATCATGAATGTTGGGAGAAAGTACCACATGTTGGGGAAACGACTGCAACACTCCGATATAATGCTCCGTGAAACATCTAAACTGTTTCGCAGCCAAATCCGTCCTAGTCCCTTGTCTGCAGGACATAACCGACGCGTGATTCAAGAACGCGGCTCAGGAATTGCCGAAGTCCAAGCCCATGTCCTAGAAATCAAAGGTATTGTTGTGCTCTATATGGTAATCATATCGACCTTTTTGCTGACGGCCCTAAAGAACAGCTTGTCATACCACTAGAAGCAGACCTAAGGCACCTTCAAGAACAGCTTCAAATTCCTAAAACCAACTCTCCATTCGGTTTACGATTCGTTCTTCTCTTCTATCGATGTCGCTACACATCCCTTGTAGACCTGCTAAAAACATCCGAATTCTTGCTAACACTCGATGACCCGTCATGCCAGTGCAGGATTCTTGCCGAGTCCATTCGTCGCACCGTCATTATACACAGTAACAGAAATACCAGCAGCCTCAATAATTCAATAATTGAATGCGAATCCAAGTCTCTAAATACGTTGGAGGTTGAAACACGCCTTTTACAGCTGGGATTCTACTCTCTGGCCAAGAGAGCTGTCAAACTAAATTGTGCACGAGGTAGGGATATCGCGGACGAAGCAAGGGGCTTTAGTGGAGATGTGCCAGATGACACCGCTATTCGTGAAAATTTTAGTGGACTGGGTCCATTCAAGCTAGATCTTGACCTGACGATACAGCGCATGGCGACGTTATGCCGTCGTTATCCAAAATCGGCAGGGTTGTATGTCAAGCTGGTTGATTCAACGAAGCACGCAATATATTCAAATCACAAGCTGCCCTATCTATTTCCGGCTGAAACCGGATCTGTGGAGCGAGCCTGGGGAAGTCCTGAGTGCAGCAAACTCGTCAAGTGTGTCAATCATCATGTGTACCCGGCTGACAGTTTCGATGATTGTCCTGAGTGTGGAAAAGAGGTGGTAGGGAGCGACGAAGTGAATTATGAGCAATTTCTCTCCGAAACCGAGTTCTTATCATTGATGCGAACTCAGAACCATACCGAGTAGGAGGGTATCCAGCTAAATTAATATAACTGATCGATAGCTAAAATGCAAAGTAATCAAATGGTGTATGTATTCTTTCTTTCTCAGTCCAGGCTATCATAACCATTGATTGGACTTTCGATGGCATGATTCTAAACTTTGAAAATAACCCAGAAAGGATGTTGATACCTTACAGGCCATTAAGTCTAGCCAAGGACGGGTCAAAAAGTCAGTTGGCCGTATCTGAGCTTCCTTCCTCGTGTCTACGTAAGTAAGTAACTATGTCAGTAGCTCGATGCTTGACATCCTATCCACAATTCTGGCGGCTTCCAGCGATGCGATTGTTGCCCTGGCAACGGTTTAATTACCCCTGCCAGTCCGGTTCGCACCGATTTTCCGACACACAAAGACAACAAACGATCACAGACAGCAACCACAGTCGCAGTTTACTTCTATATCAGATTCCTTTTCGCTGTTGGTTAATCATAATTTACAAAGTCCTAATTATTTAGCTTAGTGTGTCTAAAATCGATAACATGGAATCTGGCCCGAAGCCCTCCACTGGGCAAACATCACTCTTTCAGGTTTATCTGCGGCTTCGGCCACCAATGAACAAGAAAGAAGCGACCCAGATACCAAAGCAGGAATACCTCACAGTTGAGCGCCCAGAGCCCCAATTGTCTGAAGACGATGGAAACCAACGTCCCGTCTGGCCTACTCATATCACGCTGCAGCCACCAAACGATTCGAGAAAACGAGCAGTTGAGAAGTTCGGGTTCACAAAAGTTTTTGAAGAGAATGCCTCTCAGCTAGAGCTTTTTGAAGAAATTGGGATGCCCAGTTTGATAAAAGGTGTTCTTTGTGATGGTAGAGATGGCCTGGTTGCTACCTTGGGAGTCACTGGGAGTGGAAAGGTTTGATGTCTCTTGTCTCATCTCTTATTGACTTCATGAATATTTTGAGAATCGACGAGCAAGTGAAAAGCCCGCAAGCTTACTTCTCTGTCTCAGACACACACTATCCTTGGGTCGAAATCGCAGCGCGGAATAACGCAGATGTCACTCGATGTCCTCTTCCGTTCCCTTTCGTCAACGGTTCAGAATTTGGATAACCAAGATAACCCCCTATTGCTATCGTCCATTGCGGATTCCGACCCATCTGAAGCACAGCTCTTTACTGCGAGATCCTTTATCGAAATGATTTATAGTGATCCATGGAACGAACGAGGTCGAGGGTCCAGGGCTCAGACCCCGATGTCTGTTGTGTCGAGGTGTCAAACCCCTATGACGGTACGGAGCCCTTCTAATTTCCCTTGTCCTATTTTACATGCGGACTCTTTTTCAACCGGCCCATTTCTGGGAAGATTCATCCCAAGCACCCCAAAACATACCCATAGACAAGGCTCATGCACGTCAACAATTCGACTTGTCTCCCCAACAATGGAATCAGTTGACGGTCATGGCAGTAGCTGGGTTTCTCCAAATAAAACCCTAAATCCTTCCCAATTACCTTTTTGGAACCGCCCTAAAATTTCAAAACATGTAGCTAAGATTGCCTCTCAAAACAAACAGGATTCGATGTCTACTATAAATTTCCCTCGACGTCATTTGCCTCACCGGCCGAGTACGCTCCCTCAATCGCCGGACGTGAGCGAATTCGTGATTCCTAATCCGAGCGAAGGGGAGACTGTGGTATTGGTATCGATGTACGAAGTATATAATGATCGAATTTTTGATCTCCTTACTCCCTTAAGTTCAAGAACCAGTTGTCGACCCGCAATGAACCAGAAGGAAAGGCGTCGGCATTTACTATTTAAACCTACAGAAGCTTCACCGGATCGCAAAGTTGTAGCTGGTTTGAGGAAGGTTATTTGCGGCACTTACGAAGAAGCCTTGATGGTCTTGGAGACTGGCTTGCTGGAGCGAAAAGTGACTGGAACAGGAAGTAATAGTGTCAGCTCACGAAGCCATGGGTTCTTCTGTGTTGAAGTGAAACGAAGAGTCCGAGATAGGAGGTTTGGTGAAGAATCCTGGATTGGAAATACGCTGACTGTGGTTGATCTTGCTGGTAAGAACTACGCATGGATCATTATCCTGAGACAACCTATACTTATTATCTGTGCGTAGGCTCTGAGCGCGCTAGAAATGCGAAAACTGCGGGAGCAACACTTGCAGAAGCTGGGAAAATTAACGAGAGTTTGATGTATCTGGGTCAATGTCTCCAAACGCAGAGTGATTTCCAGGACGGAAATAAGGTATGTACCTCGAAATTACTAGCCATTCGCAAAAATTTGCTAAATACCTATTAGAATGCGCTGGTACCCTACAGACAATGCAAACTCACCGAACTCTTATTCTCTAACTCGTTCCCTTCGCCGAACCACGGGACTTCATATCCGAGACACCCACAAAGAGCCCTTATGATTGTGACTGCAGACGCACAGGGTGACTTTAACGCTACCTCTCAGATCTTGCGCTATTCTGCATTGGCTCGCGAGGTCACCGTGCCTCGCATACCCTCCGTCACAAGCACAATCTTGGCTAACACGGGGTGTGGAAGGAAGAGTCCAACTTATGCTCACGCTAACAAGTCCAAATCCAGCCTGTATTGTGCTTCAGCGGAAGAGTTAGAGACTGCAGCGTTGGAAATTGCAAAAATTAGTGATGACTACGATGCCTTGGCCGTAAAACTGGCGGAGGAAGAAATTGCGAGAGCAGAAGCTGAGTTCCACTGGAGAGCAGCCGAGGAAAGGTGCATGTTGATCGAACAGGAGGTACGGGAAGAATGTTGGCAGGAGATGGAGCAGCGGCTTGAGGAAGAGAAGCGACGATGGCAAGCGGCCTGGGGTGAACAGGTAAATATTGTTATTAAACTAAACACTAAACATGGTACACCCAAGCTAACCGGAATACAGGAATCACGTCATGATGAGCACCTGGATAAAAAATTAGACTTACTGTCAAGGGGCGTAAGGAGTACGTGCTCCCAACCACGTCTACTTTCTTTTTTATTATTCTGCGGTAACTCGGCTAACTCCTGTAATTTAATATAGTCCACGAAGACCCGCAAACATCTTCAGAACATCGAATAATCGCATTAGAACGAGATAATGATAATCTACGAAAGAGAGTCGCCAGCCTCGAACGTGAATTGCATTCCCGCTCTCCAACGAAAAAAGCAACAAAATCCAAGAAAAATCTCATGCCCCAGCAGCGGCAGGATTCGCTCGATTATAGCTATGCAAGTTGTGAGAGTGACGTTGAGAACTCGCTCATGAAACTCCAATATCTTAAACTAGATTCTGACGTTAAGCGAAGCCCTGGGCCAATGTCTGTGTCGAAGAAATTGACAGGCGGGAGAAGACAACGCATGATGACGGCGAGACAACGGGATTTTGCTCCAGAGTGTTTTGGATGAATTGGAGTGAAAAATTGACAAGCTACATATGTTTATGTTGTTACCGTGATACCCCTGATGTTGTCCTATATGAATAATAGTTTGTTTGGCTGTACATACATGGTGTGTTGAGAAACCGATATTTCCAAACTCCCTGAAATTTTCGGATTTCAGCAGCAGCTTTTTTCCCTTAGATGGTTGGGTGCCGTGAGTTTTTGGGACCGCGAAACAGGAAGGGCGTTACTAAGATTAAATATCTATTTGCTAATTTGAGTGCTCGTTTCTTTTTCCGCTAAGAATAGCCCCCTAATGTAAAGAACTAGGTGTGATTTTAACTTGCTTCCGCGTAGATTCCACCAGAGCAGAGGAAAAAAAGGGATGGTTTAATTATCTGGCTACCAAGCCATTGCATTATCAGAAATAATAGAAAATAACATGAAGTTGACTAGACCTGGTTGGTTCATAATACCGCAACCAGTACGACTTCAAACCGCGGACGCCATACCCACCCCCGATATCCGTTTGCCGTCCGAGAAGAAACCATAAACGATATTACATCCACAGAATAGTCTTATGATAAATAAACCGTTCAAATCATCAAAGGCTAATCGTTAATACAGAGGCCAAGAAGTTACTGGAAGCAATTTAGAAACAAAAATAGCAAATAATCCGATTCAAAGAGGGAATTAAGCATCCCCCTCCATGTCCACGTCTAAAGGCTCTACCTCCGTAGGTTCAAGTTCCGATTTCGCATCCTGTGCCGAAGCAGCAGGACCCGACTCGACCTCTGCGCCATCAGCAACGCTGACATTCGTCGATGGGTCGTCCGACCCAGGCTTTGGAGACATAACCCTCTTGATCAATGCATTCGAAAATGAAGCTTGGGCGGGGGCAGTTCCCGTAGCCGCTGCTTCATCGTGTTCTTCTAATATCTTCTCCTCGTCGATTTCGCTAAGTTCGCTCTCATTATCGGCGCTGTCATGAACGCTGCCCGGAACACTGCTTTGGATGCCCGAGGCTTCCTCTTTGCTGGGTAGCAACGGTATTGCGACTTCGATAGTTCCTTGTGGCTTGGAAGTAGAGGTCTCCTCATCCGCTTGACGCACGGGGGGCTTCGGTGCTGGTTTCGGCGCCAGGGCTCTTGTGGCGATTGCTTCGGCTTTACGTTGGAGCTCTTTACGCGATACTCCCTTGAACCGCGGTTTGGGACCGGGCTGAGCGTGAGTGGAGGAAACCGGTGGTGTTTGAGTACCATCTGGACCATCGCTGGCCACAAGGAGATGGTCTACCTTCATCCGTTCGCGGCTCTCTTCTTCAGTTACTTGCTCGATGAATTTGGGTACATTACTCTGGTAGAGAACAGCGTAGGTATCGGCGACAAGGTCTTCGAATATAGCAGGTTTCATGAGGCCGTTGTTCAATTTTTTCAGCTCAACGGCATCTTTGAGAAAATCCACCAGATGGGTCTCCGTGGAATGGTGCTGGCACCAGTCTTCCAGGCGCGTGCAGTATATGGCGAACTCGTCGTGGCTGACGGGTTTGAAAACAGTGTCTTCATGCCCTTCTGGAATCTCGCCGACGCGGCGGAAAAGCTGGAAGGAGAGGTTAGTTTTTGCAATTAGATCAAGTAGGACGTGTACTTGGTTACCTACTTTGATATAAGTTAAGCACATATCTTCCCATAGCTTAGAATGGTTGACATAGTCGTTTGGTTTCCTTCGTACGCGCCGAATGAGCATATCCAAGCTTGCTCGATCATTCAGCTGATTTAAAAGGCCGACGAAAAAGTACACATATCGAGTTGTATAAACAAAGTGTCTTCCTGCACGCTCGTTTTCCGGTCTCCAAACTTGAAGTGTCATGGTTTTAGTGAATATCTGCTGCGAAACCTCAGATTTAGCTGCCAAGGCAGATGCATCGTCCTTTGAATCATCATAGATTATATGCGCGGCCTGGTCACAGTTAGCAAAGAGAGCGTTGTTGGCTAGAAAGGGAGAGAGACTAACCCGCAAGACAATACGATGATGCCAGTTCGACTTGTCCGCGTTCCGAAGGTTTCTTAATACCTCCAGGATGTAGGGCTTCCATTCAGCGTTATTCAGGCTGACTTTCCGCGCATAGGGCGTCGCAAGAAGTCGGTCCCTTGCACTCTCAGGCTTTACACAATTAGTACAAAATACATTATAGCCATACGTTACTAAGGAACAAACCTTCAAGAGTCCTCTATGAACGAGCTTGTGGGAAATAGATACGAGCTTGTAATGAGGTTCAAGGACTGGATCTGATCGACTGTCCCTTCTCGATGGCAATGCTTCGATTGCATCAACTAATGAATCTAGTACTTCGTCAACTTCCACGGGGGAGTGTTGTCCCCGTGTGGCAGCATCGCAGCAGAGCATTTTCCAGAGACATTTGCTGAACATGTAATAGTTCCTATATGCACGCATTAAGTGTTTGATTCCCTAAATAGGGTAATGGGCCTACATACTTCCAATAATTAGGCCGCTCATCCATCGCTCGTCGAAAAAGGTAGCTTGCAAAGTTCCATGCTGAATACTTGTTCATTTCTGGGAATGGCTTTGCCTTGTACATTTGTTGGTTTTCGCCGCTGCTGTAATGCCTCGTAAATTCAGACAAACTAAAAGCTTCCATGGACAGAGGCTCTGTCGCTGATGCATATATCCGAAATCCAAATTCGGTATAGAGGTCAGATATCTTTCTTTTCGTTTCAGGTGACGAGTCGGCTGTTCGTACAGCAGCCGCAATTGCCATGGTGAAACAGTGTATCGCCCTCCGCTGTAAAATTGCTAGGTCTGATCGATTGTTGTTCAACTTGTCGGCAGACCATGCGATATCCTCCTCTAGCTTCAGGTCGTACACTTGAGCTAGGCGGTACCATGTTTCCCATTTGCCTGTGCCATGTTCCAGCTCTTGCCTGAAAAAAGACGCTGCAACATCCAGATCGTCGGTTGGGATTGCAGTTATTCTTTTCTGGGCCCGAAATTTTGACAGGGATATATAGCCGAGGAGATAGTACCAACCTTTATCCGCAAGTTCAAGGCTATCTGTATAAACAGGGACCATTGATACCTCCCCGATTCCTTGAACTGCACGAAACATGTCGGATGGGTTGATCGATGATTTCAGGAAAGCTGATAAAACACGCTTGTTGAAAGTCAGAGGCGTGGAGAACTTGGTGGCCCTGCCAATAGCCATTTGCATGGTGTCTATAGTCGGCCTCAATTCTGACTTGTGCACATCTTTGACATTCATTCTATTGACTTGCGTCATAACAAAATCGATCATCATAACAGCTGAGGCGCGATCCAGTCTTTCAATGGGGCACCCATGATTCGCAATATCGTCAAGGTTCAAGAACTTTAGACCGTACAGGTCAAATAGAACCTGTGAGACGTCAAATTCATAGCTATCTTCTGTTGGGAGAGTCAACAACTCTTTCTTCATAAGTTTCAGAAGCAGCTTGTGGGAACATTTGCAATAACATCGAATTCCGAGAGCGTTATGGACAGAACGTAGGTAATGAATACGGTCGTCATTAGGGGTGTCAAATAGTTCCTTATTTTGTTCCATGAATTCTCCGAGCAATGCATAGAGCAAAACCCATGCTTTAACTTGCATTCCTCGAAGTTTCTCTTTGAACTGCTCCAAAGTCTTGGCTGTTGATGCTGGCCGTATATCCGGAATGGTAACTTGACCAACGCGAACTGAGTCTTCGAATAGGGCAAAAGAATGGAGCAGTTTGGAAATCCGAACTACAGCAGACATAGAAGACTGTAAATGCGCCACATCAAAACACTCGAACGATTTTTCGGGCTCGTCTGTGACCTTCCCAACCACCTTACTTAGTAAATCGTCAAGAGTTTTAATCCACTTCAACAGTGAAAATTGCCGGAGTCCACTCGACACTTTCAGGTATGAGGGATTTTGAAGCTCTCCAGCAACTATTTCAATACTCCGAAGGTAGCAAGATATGACTTTGGGGAAATATTGAATAGATTCATATGCGTTTCTAAGCTTCCTCCAGAGGAAAAGCCGTAAAGTTGCATCGCCCCGATCTAAAAACGAAATCATGCCCTGGATAGCGGACATTAATGAAGAATTTGCAGATGACTCTGTGCTCTCCATTGGCCTTTTAAACTCATTCCCGGATGGCGAAGCATGAACAAATTCCACAGATGATGGGTCCAGAATAGGTTCAATGCTTTCAATAAGATGAACAGGATCATCGGAATCGGAATTGAAAATATTCGTAAAAAAGTCCATGGAGTTGAGCCTTGAAATCTCTTCATCTATCGCGGAAACAGATATTTCAGGCATTGTTGAATTGTTTAGCAGAGGTATCGATGGGTTTCCAAGGGCGACCAATACACGTCTCAAGTCCTTGAGACAAAGGAAGACATAGTCTCGGGGAACTTCCTCCATCAGGTTAAAGTGGAAAACAGAGGCCCATAAGTGACGAAGTTGAATGGTAATTTGAAGGGTTTTCCCTACACATACATCGTTCTGATAGTTCATAAAAGCGCGTGCAAGAGTGCTCCATCTATTGAGACGATCTCGTTCTTCTAATACTTTTAAGTGATCGCAAGGATCACTGCCAGGTCCGCTAATTGAGGCGTATATATCAAGATGTAGTTCGTAAATGCTTTGCGTTATCTCCGCACAAGCCAAAAGGTGCGGAGACGAAACGTTGCTTGTGGAGTTCAGTATGGCTTGCTCCCAGGCCATTGCAAAGTCGTTAAACTTGGTATAAATGAATTCGTCGTTATTTATGAGGATTTGCATGGCTGTCTCCTTCATATGCCTTGTCCAAAGCCGGTTCGTATAGGTAGAACTTCCCATGTACTGGTTCTCGTCGTCAGATCGCAATTCATGGCCGGGATTAGGCTTCAAGTGCTGTTCCAACCACAGAAATGCGGCCTCACTAGGGCAAATCCATCCACCGTTGATATGCTCCAAAAAAACCGACAGCCCATCGTCCTCTACGAGAGTAATCTCCTTATCGGGATTGGGATGACTTTGTCGAGAATGATCGAGAAATACACTCATTCCCGATCTTTTCGTTCCATTTATGCTGTCGGTCGAATCTGCGGAATAAATATCACTCTGTAAAGCAACTTGAGCTTTTTCATCGTCCCACTTCTCGACTACTTTTCGAAGATCATTATAAAGAGTGCGCTGGGCAATATAGTTTTGGGTGTTGTTTTCCGGAGGCTCCTGATTGCCGTCGAAGCACAAAATCTCTTGCATTTCATCGATCGTTCCCAGATCTTCGACGCCAGCCTTGGACAGCAAAGCTCCCACAACTCCAAACATCCACTGGTCGGCATGTACATACTGTTCTAGGTGTTCCTCAAAATATTTAGCTGCATCGAAAGGTGCGGGCCCCGATGGGGCATGGACTTCGGCATTGGATTCGCGAGCTCGAATGCGACGGCTTTTCATTCTTCCACCATCCGGTTGTTCATCGTTTCCGGCAGATGCAGAAGATCTTTTTCGAGACTGTGATGCAGCTGTTGTCTGCTCGAATGCATCCAGCGTTATCTGCGGTGGGTTTTGCTCTGGTTTCTCATCAGATTTTCCCTGAGAGCTTTCAGGGTGAATCTCCGAAGCCTGTTCAGGATGAGGACTTGGTTCTCTATTATCGTCATTAGAGGCGATCGAGGAATGGGCTTTATTAGAACCTTCTGCTGGTAAGTGAAGGACATGCTGAGGCTCCGCATCAGGAAGTTCAATATCCAAATTTGGGTTGGCTCCATCCCCACGTTTGTCATGTACGGAGTTTTGTTGAATAAGAGGACGAGAGGACGGAGAAATTTCAATCGAATCATGACACTCCTGAACAGAGATTCCTATAGCTGCCCCTGGAGTAAAGCTAATATCGCCCGTTTGTTCATCTAGCAAAGCCCGCAGGAGAGCTCCACCTACCGCAGTCCAGCTTGCGCTTGTAGGTGTGAGGACGTGACGGCTAGGTGGAATTCCAAGCAAGTTCAGAGATGTAGTTGAAACACTAGACCCTCTTGGAAGATACGGGAAAGGATCGATTTGCTTCTGTAGAAGACGACGAATAGCTCTTCTTGGTCGTTTGAGTGGCCGTTGCAACATAGACAGCTTGTCGCTTAGGACATCGAGTACTTTGCGGAGATCTTCACCTGCAAAAGCTTGTTCTAGACCTAACTGTTCGAATCCATCGTCAAACCCGTCATCGCCGCCTTCCAACACACTTTCTAAGCAAAATCTGGTGAGGCGATTACTTTGGAGTGCATCTCCAATCCTGGCGCTTTTCCTCCATAGCTCCAAGTCGGTATCGTCCCTCTCCAGGGCTTCGGCGAATGATCTGATTGCTGAACCAGAAGCGGCAGATACGTCAATAAAGGATTTATTGCTCTCATCAGCTTTCTTCGAGCGTAGTAAATGCCTCAGATAATCTAACGTAAACTGGCCTCGGTTTCTATGCGAGAGGTAGAGTGTCTGGGGCAAAGCACTGGAAACTGTGTCGCTAGCATCTAAAGGAGCAGCAGATTCCGCTGCCGCTTCCACAAGAAAGATTTCATGTTGAGTCTCGGGCCCTTCAAGTTGACTCCTCTTATACTCCGAGGTCGATTCCGGATAGTTGAATATTTCGGATTTAAATAACGTTTCATATGCCTCAGAAGCTTGGTCATAGAATTGGGGCCCTTGAGAATGAAGCTTCAAGGCATTATGATAAAGCTTTAGAGCTTCTTCGATTTGGATTTCCTTCGTGTCATCAATTTCCTCTTCGCTGTAGTCATCTGGCTCGATGTTGAGAGCAACGAAGGACGTCATGGCTAGGTTGGAAAAGAAAGCCTGAGGCCAGGCAAATCACCCAGCTCAAGTCAGCATTACGTCTCTCGATTAATTAAGTAGTACAGGTAATATTGTAAAACAGTGGCATATAGCGACAAGAAAAGAAGGACACCAGAAGCTACGGAGTATATCGGTCCTTGGTTAGTGGATTCAAATCTTCCTGATTGGGCATGGCGCAAACGGATGTTGTCTAGGTGGCTAGAAATGATCTGAACCATCAATTAGCTCATCGTTTAAACCCATGCACTGCTGAACAACTCGTCCGGCGTGAATTAGCCGTGGCCTTCATCAACAAAAGACTTGATTCAATTCGCTATTTGCCATTCCGTTAATGCTGTCATCCATTGCCGCACGCTTTAATCCCCGTTCCTGAGCTTACGCATCAACATCATGGTCGCCCCAGCGGTCCCAGAGTAGGTCATTCCACTCCGCAGAGTATATACTGCATGCCAATGCGCCGTGCGCTGCGTCTTGTTCAAATTACTAAGAAAGCTATTATTAAAATGCAGGATCATCGAGGACGATAGCATCTATGCTTCAATTGACGCCCGCACAGAAGCTTTACAAAATCTAAGGGAATTGGGCCCTCCGGACCTTGTCCATTTAGTGAAGCAATCAAAGACGAGCCCGAATAATCAGGTATGTGCGCATGACCAATCCAAACAGGAACGCTGTATTCTAATATGCCCTCTTCCACTCTGTAGACTGGCGTCTATCACCATGTCACTGGCGTGGACGCCTCTTCGTCGGCCAGCTTAGCTGCTTACGTCAATACCCTTACATACTCCCCCGTCGATAAGAATCACAAGGTTGTCTCGGGAATATACTGGTGAGAAACTTTCGAGGGTTTCAAAGTAGAATTGTTATTGACGGCTTTGTAGTTGTTATAATGCCTTCTCCCACGTTGATATGCGAGTCGAAGTTAAGATTCCAGGCAGTCTCGAGAGCTACTGCATTGACGAGCGCGGAGATAAACGGGTTGTGACGGAAATGCTATGGCTCGAAACTTTCCTATGCGGTGTCCTTCGAGCGTACTCGTACGCGGACAACGGCAATGGCGATAGCATAAAAAATATTGTTGGCGTTAGAAGGTTCAACCCTGTTACGAACACTGAAATGGAGCACAAGTTTCTAGATGCGGCTGAGAAGCTATTTTTCAACGGTTTGGATATACACCACGTCCATCATTTGCGCATGTGCTAATAATCGCCGCAGGGAGACAGCTAAGCTCAGACCCGGAAACACAAGTCCCTAACACAGTTACGAACCACCTAACGTCCGGCATTTTAAAATATATCCACACGACGGGACGATACGCTTCTGGTATAAATCTCTTTGAAAAGCTACGTACGCGCGATGTTGAGGTGTCGTCGCTCCTAGCGCGCGTCCTTATTTCTGCAGATGAAGAGGTGCAAGCTGTACGGTTATTACATGACGCACTCCAAGACTTGCCAATGGATTACTCTCTCCTGGATTGTCAAGCAGCCTTTTGCCAGAGTAAGGGTGAAAGCGAGATGGCACTTGAATGTGCTAAGCGTAGCGTTACTGCCGCTCCCAGCGAATTTAGCTCCTGGGCTCGGTTAGCAGAAGTATACATAAACATGGAACAGTGGGACTTGGCGCTTCTAACTCTGAACTCGTGTCCGATGTTCACCTATCAGGACAAGGACTCACCGCGGATGCCACCACCTTCTCGAATTCTTTTACCCATCCTCCCTGAGAGCATGCTGGATGAAATTGATGAAGGTCAGCCAAAGCAAGGAGAGCCTCATGACGCCGTCCATCCCACACTTAGGAAGCTACATGCTGCAGGGTACCAAGGCACTTTCTTGAGAGCTTACACTCTGCTCGCAAAAATCGCGGCGGCGATTGGTTGGGATCAGCTCCTGAAGATCCGAAGCGAGGTTTTCGTCATGGAGGAGGAGTATAGAGCGGAGCGCCAAGTCAATGCCAGGCGTTCTTCTGCTGCTGTCCAGAACGCCAGCACTGTGGCTTTACACGAGGCAACTAGTGGAGCTGGACAAGTGAATGGAAATGGAGTAGACGGTCAAGATTCAGAGAATGCCGAAGGAAGCGATGAGGAGAACGAATCGTCAGAGGAAGATAACACTCGAAAAGCCAAGAAATCCGTGACTATTGAACGCCCAGAACAATCAGTTGCTTCGGAAGTTGTCAAATCTGGTGGAGAAGACGTGAGTGATCGAGTTTATCTTTACCTCAGTAAACACACAAGTCCAAATTTATACTAACAGTCTTCCCGCCGCCTGTACAGCCTGATGCGACCTCTAATTCATACACGCAGTTCATGAACAAGCGATTATGCGAGCGCTGGCTCGACAATTTATTCATGGTCCTCTATGAGGACCTTCGCGTGTACACTATCTGGCGAACAGAAATGGCACAATCTCGCGAACAATCAGTTGATTATAAGAAATCAGCCACAGAATGGGAGATCCTCGGCGAGCTTGCTGAGCGTCTTCATCATTTCAACGAAGCAGTGGAAGCCTACCAACACTGTCTATCCATCAGATTCTCTCCGAAGGCGATGAAGGGTATTCTGAAGATGTATGAGCGCCAGGGCGACACGCGCGGGATGCTCGGTGCTCTGATCAGACTCATTGCTTGGCAATATCGGTGGTATTCAGAGGTCAGTAAATATGACATCCTGAGGCAAAAGAAGAAGGGAACAGGATCCCTCTCTATTCCATTTAACACTCCTAGAAACTAACTGGTCTCGCCCAAATCCAACCATACAGTTTTCCCCTGAACTCCTCTTCACCATCCGCAAACTGATCGAAGAAGAAGGCGCCGTCAAAGTGCGCAGCATTGTACAGGCCACAAACCTTCCGCAACCTGTCTTGGATCTGACACACCACTACTGCCAACTGTGCGCTACATTCAGAAGCAGTGGTAGTGATGGTTAATAACTCTCACTGGTTTCCTTTATCCCTTCTCTTTTACTTTGCTTTTAGTCACCTCCTGGCCACATTCCTCCGTTGCTTACATCTTACCGCATCTAATGTACCTTGAACCCGTTTGTTCATCTCTACATCCTATCTTGCGACCCCAGGTTCGCTAGTCAATACCATTGGCCAGAAACGTGGAGTTGAGTTTGGATGGACAAGATACTCCCTATATACTACACGGCAATCGGTTGATTGCTTCGGTTTTGTCTTGCTCCCCTTTTTTACCTTTAATGTGGTGTAGTAATTGAACACAACAGAAAACCTTTATTATCTATTTAATATATGTATATGTATATTAATCATTCCTTCCTTCTTTCCCATCATTGATATCATCAATCCATCTGGATTACGAGGCTTTTGCAGGCATGTGTCGCTAGTGCAGTGCAGTCCGCACTTTTGCTGACAGGACTTTCCCCGTAAGAGCATTCCTATTTATGAGCTCCTTCATATCTCCCCGACGTAGAAAATAATAGTTCCAAATGCAAAAAAGTCCCTAAGGATGTCAGGAAATCATTCAACTAAGGTCAAGATTGCGGTGGTGGGACACCAAGCCGAACTGAAAGATTCTTGCATACCATCCAATAAGGGAGGCAGCTCCTCCACACTAGTTAATAATGATCACTGCCTTGCGCGAATTAAGGGGAATAATAGATAATCAGCCCCTCTAATTAAACCTCACTCGATAATATTTCAGACAAAAATGCACACGCCTACACATACACAAACATTTCATTTTCATATTTTTTGTTTCACACAGTCCTCCCGGTCTAGGTATCATTGTATTTGACTCTGCGATGCCAGCCCAGGATGAACATGATTAACAAACGCGATGACAAGTTGAGAATTCCAGGCTGCCATTTTGATCCAAGCAGGCGCCGGACGAAGTACTTCGTGAAAAATCTCACGCTCGCCGGATGCCGTCTTCAATGATTGGATAATAGGCGAAGAAAAAAATAAGTTGGAGAAAAATGGACTCCATAACTTTTCTCCTCTCTCGAAGAGAAAAACGATATTTTCCTTCCAGAGAGAGGAAAAAAAAGAAAGATTATATGAACAGCATTCATTTAACAAACTAACTAAGAAACTACTTCAGTGAAAATAATCGGACCTAAAAAGAGATAAATCGCGGAAAATTCGATTATTTCCTTCCTTACTCAGCCCAAATGAAATGATTCCCCGCCCCCGCATAAAAAGAGAGCGCGAAAACCTGGTCCCACATATCCCCTTACAAACCCCCCCAATTAAATAGAAAAAACAAGAAGTAGAAAAAAAACCAAACAACGACAAAAAAAAAATTATTAACCGCGAACCCTCATTTTTTCCGCAACCCTCCGGCTGTGGCGCTGCACGATTACCAGCTCTTATTCGCCATTACCCACTTCCACGGCAGCAGGAGCAACCGCGGCACCATTGGTAGTAGCAACTTTTTCAACGGGCGCGGGCACCTCGGACACAGCCAGTCCAGCTTTCTTAACAGGCGCTGGTGCATCGTCCTCTCTCTGTTCTGCTTCTTCTTCCTCTTCCTCCTCCTGCTCTTCATCTTCATCACCTTCGGCCTCCAGGCCTTTCTCGGCTCCTTCTGGCTCCGGTTCTTCAACTTCTTCCTCCTCTTCCTCTTCCTCCCCTTCTGCGCCCTGAGCTTCAGTGTACGGGGCTGGCGCTACTTTGCGTTTCTTATGTGCGGCTGTTTTTGGGTTAGCAAGTTTGCTAAGTCATAAAATTTAGGGGCATGGGGAGGGATTTCGCTGGGAGGGCGATATGAGGGAAAAACGGACGTTCTCCCCATCAGGGCGCGACAAATTGATGGTTATCCATCGATAGGAAAAGCACAAGAAAGAACAGGAAAAATAGGATTTCGTGAGATGGGATCACTTACGTTCTTCTTTCTCAGGCTCCCCTTCCTCAGAAGCTTCAGATTCTTCCCCGGAGCCTGACTCATCTTCTCCCTCTTCTTCGCCGAAATCAGATTCTTCATATCTAATCATAGCATATGGTTAATATTTCATTGACGGCAATACGGTTAGCGAAGAAAGGTATGTGCAGCTGAGGATATGCGCTAGTGTGCGCATAGCTTCTTCATCTGAAAAACATCGCGCTGGGTGGTATGGGTATGGGGAACCAAAGTCGACGACAGCCACATCTGCGACCATAACAGCTCAATTTCCTCAGGCGCAAGCCAGCGCGAACGCAGCAGCAATATAAATGGATTCCATGATAGCCGCACAATTCCAAACCACCATGCATGCAATTGGGAATTTGACAATGGGCCAAAATAGATGATGTCAAGAGAAGGGGCTATAAGGTATGATAGAGCAGAAGGAGAGGTCTCAACGTACTCTTCTTCCTCTTCACTTTCATCGCTGGGTAAGGCTACGAGTTCTTCGTCATCCTCTGCGGCTCCGCGGCCCCGTTTGCGAGTAGACATTGTGCCTCTTGTGGTTGTTTACGAGGTAGGAGTTTTATGGGACAGGCAAGGGGGATGGAGAGATGTGGCTAGGTTTGGAAGTAGAGGGAGTCGAAAGCTTTTCCTTGCAAGAGTGGGTATGTAGTGAGAGAAGGTAGGAGATTGGGGGGGAAAAGTGCGTGAGAGGAGGAGGTTATAAGGGGAATGGACCAGAACTGGGCGAAAGGGTGGGTAGAGCTGCTGACTGATGGCAGCAACAATTATAGAAAAAGCGGCCCTGGGCCGTCACGCCGTGACCGCATCGTGTCTTTACCGGTATGGTCCCTGTTTTGCTCCTTGATTCATTACAAGGGAGGGGGACGACCGGAATACAATCAAGTACCTCCTGGACTTAACTTTAAAGGAGGTTGGTTTTGTACCCCTGATGTAGTCAGGCTCTGTAAGGGTAGCCGTTTATGCCAAATAAGCTGTAATAGAAAGCTCGGCTGTGTAATTACGGCGTAAGGTATGTGTGAGTACGGGACGTAAATTTCAGTATAGTATGCGGAGAATGTATGGAAGACCTTCCACGGTGTGGCAATGCCTGGGAACAGTTACAGAGTCAGAGGGGAAAAACAGAAACCCAGAAACCCGCAAGCTCCAGCCCCACGTAATAACTGACAGACAAATAAACGGGTTAAACCTCCTAGATCCGTTTAAGGACGGGATCATTCTCTCAACACTCCCTCTTTTTTCTTTACTTTTTATCCTTTTTATTTTCTTTGTTCTTGGCCCTGCATTTCTCCTTTTTCGTATTTGCTTTTTCTAGTCTCCCTGCTCCCCAGTATTGACTTGCTTGGAAACCACGTCGTTCCCCCATTAAGACTAGCGGAGGATGTTCAGCCAAGTGTACGCTGCGTATTTCGTGCAGCGAGCCACACGGGTCAGTGCGCGAATGCAATAGTTACCCACTCAGATCAGCAAAGGCTCCAAGGCTCAAGGCTCCACCGTAGCGTTCATCCTGGTTATTTGATCTAGACCGAGATTTTAGGAAAAGGGGTAGCAAAAAAATGGCACTTCCGTAGAAGATAATACTAAGCCAAATCACGCAGGTACACCGAATACCGGGAACCTGATCAACACCGACACCCACAAGGAGGGAGGAAGGCTATAGTCAATCAGTTGTGTCAGTAGTTGTGACCGTGACCAAGGGAACCCAGGCCTTCATTGAGAGGAACCAAACATCTGTGTTGGTTAACTCTTAGTAAAGGTGCCAGAAATCCCCTCACACAAAGCTTGAACCCACCGCATGTGGTTGCAATGCTTAGGCACATCGTTAATGTTCACAAATCCAGTTAGCGAAATATGATCTTGCACCGAACAGAAGACTCGATTTACATGAGTTATCAGCTAATATATGCTCGAGTTTTTGCCCCGCGGCGAAGGGGATGTAACAGAAATTGCCAGCTTCGTGGCCAATATGCATGTTACTGGCTTTTGAGGTTGGATTGAGAATCTTTCATTCGTCATTATTCTATGTGACTACTGAAATGTATCCGCCAAGACGTTTGAACACAGAATAGTCGTTTCAAGTATAGAGTAGTTAATAAATATTAATCCCAAGGTGTTAGTATGCCGCTTTTTGGCCTGATTTTTATATCAACCTCGCGATCCACGTGACCAGGTGTGTGACTACCTTGTCACGACTTTCTGCTATGTTTATGCTTGCTGTTGATTGGAAGCGCGAAAGTGTTCAAGAAGGATCACACAATGATGCTTTTTAAGAGGGTAACCGTATAGCCACGAGGGCTACGCCTTTATGAGAGCTATATACCGCGTTTTGGTGAGATAATTTTGCCGAAGGGTAACTATGTCAACATGGCTGACAATCCTTGCGCGAACCCACTACTCCTCTTATGGATCAAGGAATGGCTCGATGAGGCGCGGGAGCGGAATTCGAAGGGCGTTAACGTGTAGGTATTCTCTGGATCCTCCATGCCCCCTGTCTTCTTGGGAACCCATATGTTCTAATCCCATGTTGTCAGATACAAGAAGGCATATGATTCAATGAAGGTTTGCCCTATCCCGTTCAACCATCCTTCAGAAGCCCAGCAGCTACACGGATTTGGTCCGAAGTTATGTGATCGTCTAACGGCAAAATTGCAAACTTATTGCGAACAAAATGGGCTTCCTATGCCTGAATTACCCCATCAAAGTATACACACATTCATCCCCTCCCAGGTCTATCTGAATCTCCTCCTAATGCCTTGTATTTTAGCCCGAAAAAGAAACATAAAAGATGACAATGGTGAGACGCAGCCAGCAAAAAGGCCAAAGAAAGTGAAACCTTATGTACCGGCCCTACGTTCCGGCCCATATGGTTTGCTCCTGGGCCTTGCCAATGTAGATGAGAATTCATCTATTGGATTCACCAAACAGCAGCTAATTGAGCTTGCCCAACCCTATTGCGATTCTTCATATACGGTTCCTCCGGACCCATCCAAATTTTATACGGCGTGGAATTCCATGAAAACTCTGGTACAGAAAGATCTGGTCTATGAGCATGGTCGACCATCGTCACGAAGATATCTGCTCACCGATGAAGGATGGGAAATTGCGCGGAGGATTAAGAAAACTCTGACAAACGAGGATTCTACTGAATTACAAAACGGATATGACCAAGTATGTGAGGTGCATTTGTAACTGGAATTTGTCATCATCTGATCACTTTATAGTCACCACAGCCTTATCGAGTTGGGCAAAGACACGAGGTCGGATCACAGCGGGTCGCGGATATTTCACCATTGGAGTCAGGTCCTCCCGTTCGCGGCCAGAGCCCCAAACGGAGAATAATTGATCTAGATGATTCGGATTCCCCAGAGAGTTCGAACTCAGAAATTCCACGAGTGCCAGTAAACATCTCCACAGATATTGGGAGACAATCGTCATTGAATAGAGGTCTAGCAGACCAAAACGTGGGCTTATCATTATCTGCGCCTGCGCTCACATTAATCACGCTCCCCCCGGACAGTTTCACTGTCGAACTTGTCCTCGACGTTAGAGAAATTCGCGCTGTGAAAGATAGAGATTACATTGCTAATGAACTAACTAAGAAGGGAATATCACCTATCGTACGCTCTCTTGAAGTCGGAGACGTGCTCTGGGTCGCGAAATGCAAAGACCCAAACTTCCTCGCTCGCCACGGTGAAGAAGGGGACGAAGTCATGCTTGACTGGATTGTGGAGCGAAAACGCCTCGACGATCTGATCGGCAGCATCAAAGACGGACGTTTCCATGAACAGAAATTCCGACTACGACGTTCAGGGGTACAGAACGTCATTTATTTAATCGAAGACTTTGCCGACGCGGGTACTGCGGGAACGAAGTATTATGAACATGTCACATCAGCCATTGCTTCCACGCAAGTTGTGAATGGGTACTTCGTCAAACAGACGCGCAATCTAGATGATACGATCAGGTACCTAGCTCGAATGACGAAACTGCTGAGGGGAATGTACACCAGTGCCAGTGGGAATACCGGTACTACGAAACCAAGCCCCCTTTCAATCATCCAAACCAAACACCTCACCTCCTCACAATCCTATCTAGACCTCGTCAAACGCCTTCGCTCTCAACAATCCCAAACTCAAGCACAAGACACTGCCAAGAGACCAACATTTACAGTCACATTCTCCGCCTTCTCTTCACTTGCCTCCAAGTCTGAAATGCTCACGCTCCGCGACATTTTCTTGAAAATGCTTATGTGCACGCGTGGCGTCACGGCTGATAAGGCGCTGGAAATCCAGCGACACTGGCGAACACCGCGGGAGTTTGTCGAAGCGTTTGAGGAGGCTCATCGAGGACGAGGTGGGGATGTGGCCGCGATGGAAAATATGGTCTTTGAGAAATTGGGAGGGTTGGTGGGAAGGAAGAAGATCGGGAAGCTAGTTAGTAAGAAGATTGCGGAGGTTTGGGGGGTTAATGGTCATAGTAACGGTAGCTGGTATGGATAGGTTGGTTTGAATTGGCTTACATTGGCAAGAATTAAGATTTTCCAGTTGGCCACTTGGTTGTTTATTATCCTCATCTTGAGTCGATGCTGTTTGATGTTCGTGTTTTGGTGTTATTGTGGATATGAATGACCCTTCAGGGCTGAGTTTATTTCGCGTCTTACTTCTCTCTTACTTACCCCTTTTCCTTTGGCCACTCGACTTCCCCATTATCTGTACTCTTTGTTTTGCTTTCTCTTCTCTTACCATCACAGTCCCACTGTCTGATGATGCTCCGCGGCTCTCCTTGCCATTTTACTGAGGGACATGGCGTGTCTCTAGGATCTCAACTGTTCATTTGAAGAGTTGGATACCGTTCATGAAGTGACCGCACTATTACTCTCTAATCACAATCTTATATATACAGATTTGAGCGTCAAATGCGAGAGAGAACGCATGAAAGAACTCCTTAAGAAGAACTTAAACAGATTTCCTCACACTGTTCAAAAGCTTCAAAAAGGACCAAAAGAAGCCATCACCGTATTATTCAGACAGGCCCCAATTCTTCAGTCTCGACTCCAGGGGATAAGATGATTCTATTCGTTCAATGGAAAAGGAGACACCTCCAAGACACAAGGGTAAAAGCCCCCGGGAGCCTATTCATCTGACTCAACCGAAACTTACATCTGGGGGGACCGTACATCCCAGATGCAATCTCGGCCAGCTTCACCTGCGAGTTATACCAAGTTTGCGCCTTTCGATGACAAGCCACCGCCTCCAGGGGGTTCACCACGGTCTAACAAGCGATCCTACCCATCTGGCCACAGTTCGGGTATCACGAGCCCAGAAAATGCCACCGCGCACCATAACCCGAAGAAAATTCGGACAATGGAATCACCAACCAGGTCAAGAGCCATGGAAGCAACAGATGCTGATATCGGCATCGAGGGATTCAACATCGTGATGAACGTTGAGGGCCACAATCCGTTGACCGAATCATCCTTCTGTATTCTCTCCGACACATGCAGCGAGAAGGCCCCAGGAAAGAGCGCCACCACCAGCCGCTCAATAGCTCTCTTAGGGACATCTTGGCTGGGATATAAATAAATATCGTCTTTTCATTTCTTCCGATGCTACCAATCCGCTAAATTATGTACGTACATGTACATCCGTGTCCATAATGTACAGTAACTGCGCAGTGTTATCCGCGCCATCATACACAGCACCAGCATCAGGACCGAATTCTTTGATTGAAGTGTCGTTGTCTAGTGCTATGAAAGCCTCGTGGTCCCTGTGGCTTTTGCTATTGTATATATATATATATGCAGTCATGTTAGCATCCAAAAACTCAAAGTGAACTTCCCCATTTCCCTTCCCTCCTTTTTTTTATTTTATATATATATATATGTATGTATGTATGTATGTATGTATATGCATATGTATTGGGGGGAGGGGTTTGTCTCCTTTTGCTAATTCAACCTCAGGAGCTCCAAAGTCCAATTGCAAACTTATCAGTCAGTACCCTGCAACTTGAACGCTACCCCTGATAAATAATTGGCTGGCAGGAAAGAAAACTGGCCCCTCGCAGCAACCTATGAGACTAGATAAAATAAACCAACCGGCTCAGCCAGCTGCGGTAGGGAAAGCACCGATGAAGATAAATTAATAAACCACCTCAAATTGGTCCTTGAGGAAAGTAGCTCGGACAATGGGAATGGCATAGAAACCGCATGTACGGATAGGAATTTGTATCGGAGATTTGTGTAAATACCGTTACGGTATGAGAACGTGTTCACAACAGTAGTATGTACTGTACATTAAATGCGCCAGATAGGTGTAAAGGGTTCGCAAGTATTTTCATTAGAACTCTACCTGATAAAGAGATTGTAGATTCAGAAAATATTATTATTGCGGTAGAGAATGAAATAAGATAGATACAAATGGGTATGAAGAGATCTCATCATGTCCTCTAACGAATACTTAAAAAAATCATTAGAATATGTAAGAAAAGAATGCCAGTGATAGGGTGGGCCGCATGAAGCGGATGTAGACAAGGCAAGACAATACCTAGAAACGAAATATATAAGCAAATTCGTAAAAAGAAAAAAGAACAATTAGCGGAGAAGAACCCATCTCATCCCCCGAATAAAAGAAAATAAGGGCTCTCTTTTCTCTTGAAGGCCATCATCTAGAACCTGACTAGTACTCGCACCGGCGTCCTCACGCCTTCTTCCAAAATTGCACCTTCCGCACAACCCACTCCATAGCCTTCCTCCACTCAAACCTCAGTGCCAAACTACTCACCACCACCGATATACTACTGAGCGCCATCGCCAAGCTCGCCCAGACAGGATCAAGTCTCCAATGCTCATTAATCTTCGTGCCATCCTCCATTATTTTCGTACCCGTGACAATGGGGAAAAGCACGCCTGCCGCAACCGGTACAAGAATCATGTTATAGATCGCCGCCCAGCCAAAGTTCCATTTGACGCGGTTGAACACGCGCCTGCTGAGTGTGCACAGCTCGAGGATGGTGGTGAGGTCTGAGTTGAGGAGGATGAAGCCAGCAGAATTAACGGCGACATCGGAGCCCGAGGCCATGGCGATGCTGACATTTGCGGCGGTGAGGGCGGGAGAGTCGTTAGTGCCATCTCCGACAAAAGCAACGATGCGTTTCTTGTCGGACTTGGTTTTGGTGTCGGTGTTGTGGAGTTTGTTTTCTTGTATCTGGCGGATGTACTCTGCTTTTTGAGGAGGGAGGACGTTGGCCATGACGTTTGAGGCTGGAATACCAATCGCGGCCGCAACGGCGTGTGCTGTGGTTTGGTTGTCTCCGCTACACATGAAAACGTCTATTTTCTTGGCCTTAAGGCTGGAGATCACACTTACAGCTTCGGCTCGGATTGGATCGGAAGTTGCGAAAACAATAGCAGGGACGAATTGGGAGGCATCATCTGATATTTTGCGGATAGAGAGGATTGCAGTAGACTTCGCCGCAGATTGATACTTTGTGAGCGTGTTGGCTAAGAAATAACGATCAGTTGCATTTTCGCCGGCGAGAGAGTCCAATAATCGTTGGCTTCCGATGGCTGCCTCATATTCAACTTCCGCATCGTTGAAAATTAACGAGAACGTTCCTTTCATTCCTTGTCCAGGTATTTCAGTGAGGGCTGACGAAATGACAGAGACTGAGGATTTCTCTGCACAGAATTCAGCAATAGCGTTCGCGATCGGATGTGTACTGCTCTGTTCCAAAACCTTCGCCAATTCCCAGGCTACCTGCTGCTGTTCCTCGTCCTTGACAAGGATTTCATGATCGGACACTCGCAGAGTTCCTCCTTCAGTCAATGTACCCGTTTTGTCAAACACAATCGCCTCAAGCTTACTAGCCTCCTGAAAAGCCTCGCCACCACCTCTAACAAGGATTCCTCGTCTTGCGGCGAGGCCGCCCCCAACAAACAGAGCCGTAGGAGCGGCCAAAGCCAAACCGCAAGGACAAGCAACCACAAAAACGGCGATGGCGAACTTTAACGACCAAAAGGCCCATCCGCCCTGAGCTCCATCGAGGTAGCCAGCAGGAAGACGGCCGGAGTACCCTAAGCTGAGCCAGATTATGAAAGTGAGGATGGCGAGGAGCGTGATTACCGGTACGAAATAGCTAGTCATAATATCCGCAACCCCTTCAACAGGGGCACGCTTGGTCAAGCCTTCTCTAACAACAGCGACGATTTGATCAAGCATGGACGTGCTACCGATGTCGGATACTCGGATGTATACTGGCTGTCCAACGTTCACTGACCCAGAGTATACCTTATCTCCAGCAATTTTTGCAACGGGCTTCGACTCCCCTGTCAGTGAGCTCTCGTCAAACCGATAAGACTCGGAGCTGGTCACAATTCCGTCAGCTGGAGGGGAGGAGCCGTGTGGGATGTTGACGATATCGCCCACCTCCAGGAGATCAACGCTGATACGTTGGAGTGTGCTGCCAGGAGAGGCGTCAGGGCTCGTCGAGGGGGAATCAACCACTAGAAGAGCCTCTGAGGGACGAAGTTTACCTAGGGACGCAACAGCATCACCTGCTTTCGCTTTGCTGTAAGCTTCCAAAAACCGACCAGCAAGGATGAACAGAGTAAGGAAAACGACGGTGTCAAAATAAGGCGACATGTGGGCTTGGTGTCCGTCTGCTCTAGCTGCGACACCGAGCAGAGCAATTGAGGCAAAATAAGCCACAGAAGTACCCGCAGAAATGAGTAAGTTCATGCTCCCAAAGCGGTAAAATCTTCGTAAAATGGGCACTTTGCTCCCAGGTCTCCATAAAGCTCGGATCTCTTTGAAAGCACGGACATGGAAAACATCCGCGCCGTAGCACATGACAGGCGTGGTGATGATAAACAAGGCCCATTCCAGACGGGTTACCTGCCCTGCCCATATCGGTTCGTAGAAGTATATTCTCATGCTGTCGGTTGAAGGTACCAGTGACATCCAGACAATACCTATCAGGAAAGTTGGAATCGCGGCGATGAATACAAACAGCAAACGTAGAAGAAGGCGGCGTCTTTCGCGGTGCTGCATCTCACGCGAACGGTCTTCAATGGTTGGGGGATGGTATACGCTAGCTTTAAAAGCGTCATTGGCGGATTCGATAACGGCAATTATATTTCGGACGGTCATAGAAGGGGGGTTCGGTTTGTAAGTCACTGAAACAACAGGATGCTTGAGCGTAGGGCTTTTGACGACTGAGACCGATTCGTCCATTGCTTCCAACACAGTAAGGACCTTTTCAGGGCAGTGATGGCAAAACATGCCATCAACTTGAATTTCAACCGTCCGATGCAGGGGGCCGTCACCGTCAGTTTTGCCATCTTTGAGCTGAGCACACTCAGTAACCACAAGTTCGTATCCAAGCCCCTGGACAGTTTGCTTGATTTCATCGAGTGTGTCAATCCCCTCGAACTCAAACTTTCCATTGGATCCCAGAAGGTCGACAACAACATTAGTAACAGATGGGATTTCCTGGACTCCGCGCGTAATAGTTCCCACGCATGAACCGCAGGTCATTCCCCCGATGCTGGCAGTGGCAGTATAGATGTTGCGGCGATGCGATGGTGATTTTTTCTGTGAAATATCTTGAAGGTCGCCTTCGAAACCAAGTTCATCGATTACTGAAAGAACTTCATCGATATTCTCTTTCGGACCCAGGATCGTGAGGGACGCACTATGCGTCAATAATGCAACGTCGACAGATTTCACGAAGCTAAGTTGCTCAATGGCGCTCGTCAGCGTTGTAGTGCACGAAGAGCATGACATCCCAGATATGCTAATGGATGCGTTGTATTCCTCGTCAGCCAGGGTGAAACCCTTCTCGAGATCGGGGACATCACTCCGTTCAGTCCATGATTCGGGCGCCACCTTCTCTCGCTGTTTGCCAAGGTCACCATTTATCGGGCCTTTCTCCCCAACAGCATTATGATGTGGGAAGATCGATAAGCCTTTCTTTTCATCTCCTTGGGTTTTCCCCTGCTCTTCAGCTCGACAGGCGTCGCAGTTGTCAATATGCACCCTGTTCCTGGCCTGTTTGCTTTTGCCACCCTGAGCAGGTGTGCGGAAAAGATGACGTTCTATGAATGGACTTGGCGACTCGGAAACGTCAATGTTGCTTATTTCGGCTGCTGAATCATCGCTAGAACTTGCATGACAGACCTCGAACGCAGCCTCAATCAGAGCTCTTACGAGATCAGTGGCTGATACGCCTAGTCCGTGGCGGACTTGGACCTTATGGGCGAGGATTGTCACATCGACGCTGATGACATCGGGAATATGGAACAGGACCTCCCTCGCGTATGCCACGCATGATGTACAGTGGATATTATTGACGAGGAGGACGGTTGTTATTTCTTTGGATTCCGCAGGCACCACAGGCACAGACGTACGGTTAGCCGCGACAGGCGGCCGTTGGATCGGCTCTTTGTCTGCCATTTTTATGGATCCCAAGACAAATGACACGTCACGGAATGTAGGCAATGACAAGATGCGTATGGTGTGATATGTGTGATATGTGTAGAATAACCGCAATGGCTCAGGATAGGTGGGAAGGGTGTGGGTATATATTTGATTTGGATGTGAGCCGTTCGCCACTGGATTTCTGCAGAGAAGTGAAACCGGCGGGTCTCTCGAAACGGAATTTGTTGGTTAAGAGGATCAAAAAGAGACGAAAGTAGAACCCCTTAATTTGATGTGCAGGAGTAACAAGTATGATTATTTGATATTTTATCAACTGTTAAGCTCCTCCAAGGTAGTAGACGTTGTAGAGCAGAAATCACAGCAAAGTGAAAAATTGATCACTTTCGAAAACAACAGACACTGGCCATCCATATCTTATATATACGGTATATTAGAGAACCCCTAAGAAGGCCAGCTGGCTACTGCGTATGTCGGTTGTGCGAGATTATCGCGACAAAGGACCGTCATTATTATTATTATTATTGTTTCGGTGTATGTTAGTCAACCGCGCACAAATCGCGCAACCAACCTCCATAAAACGGCCAAGGTTCGAGATCATCCTGAGAAGCTCGGCTTCCGTCATTTGGAAGGAATTTGAGTGCAAAAGCAACGAGCCTGATTTGTCAAAGATGGAGGGATTAATGCAGGTTCTCGTAGGGACAAAAAAACCTGGGGTAAGCAGAATGAATGTAAATTTTTGGTAGATCTGGTGGCAAAATGACTTCATCAATATTTTCAACCTACCAAAGCGCAGTGAACAATATTCAACCAAAACCCCAAAGACCAAAGAAGGAAAAATATCCCGCGGGCCATGAGCCAGAGGCAAAACAATTTAAAACAATTCTCATGTCGTTCAGCATAATACCATTGTGGGTGTGGTGAATACCTGGCAAGGGGTTCTCAGTACCTAATAAAAAACACCAAATAGCTCTTTGCCCGGATCGAACCCGGGGCGCCTCCGTTGTCACGTGTTAACGTATTAGTCACTCGCCTAGTCTGCCATTTTGAGTGTTAGCCGCTGCACCACGCTGTGTCTGCCAAGCCTCTGCTTGCCCTCCCCAGGACACAGTCACCGTCCTTGCGCATTCACGAAGCCCTTCCATCTCAACAGCATATCCTCCATCACTACATAACATATCTATATCTCTCCCGCGTTTTCCTAAGCGGTACTCTATTTAGATGACCTAGATATAGCGAGTCTATCTGTCTATTGCCCCTGCCAGCTAGTGAGTCAATCTTTGTCCTTACACACGCCTACATGCAAAAAATTTATACTAAGCTCCTCCCTATCTAGATCTATAACAAGCCAAACGCCCGCCGGGGTTTCCGCCATGGCCAGCATGCGGCCTCCCACCCGCCTCCCCCGGGTTCCAGGCGGTGGGATCCGCGGCCCCGTCCAACGCCTCGCCAGCCTCCGCAATCCCAATCCCACCCCAATACCGCGCCCGCAACCAAAACCTACCACCCACCTCAAGACCACCACCTGTCCAAACCCAGGCTGCCCTGCCCCAAATATTGTCGAGGACGATGGAATGAAAGTTTGTTCGGGCTGTGGTACTGTCGTCAGCGAAGCGAACATTGTCTCTGAAATCACGTTTGGTGAATCCGCATCTGGTGCGGCCATTGTGCAAGGGACCTTCGTTGGTGCGGGTCAGAGCCATGGACGCAGCTTCGGGCCCGGGTTTCAACGAGGTGGGGGCATGGAGAGTAGAGAGATCACAGAGCAAAATGGTGAGCTTTTGTCTTCTTCAACTATTTTTTTTGTGTTTTGTTTTTTTCCAAGGAAGTGGAGGGCACCACCCCTCAATTGCATTCTATGGCGCTGTTGCTGATTTGTAGCCATTAGGAAACCGTTATATTGCCCAGCTATCTCGAGCATTGAATGTCCCAGAAAGCGCTACCAAGGCTGCTGGTCAAGTTTTCAAACTTGCAGTGGGATTAAATTTTATCCAAGGTCGCCGCACAAAGACTGTTGCGGCCGTGTGTCTGTACATTGCCTGTCGCCGCCAGGATGGAAATACGGTCATGTTGATTGACTTTGCTGATGTGCTAATGGTATGTATATCTGTCATATTTCTGTTCCAGATTAATAGACTCTAACCGAATATTTTACTAGATTAATGTGTTTAAACTTGGTCGTGCGTACAAGCACTACTTGACGAACTACGCCGGGAGGAAACGTGTTTTATCATGAACCCCATCGACCCCGAAAGCCTAATTTACCGGTTTGCGAAGCAGCTTGAATTCGGTTCCTCGATGATGCAGGTTGCAAGCGAGGCAGTCCGCATTGTGCAGCGGATGAACCGAGATTGGATGATTACTGGGCGGCGCCCTGCAGGCATCTGCGGCGCTGCTTTGATCCTTGCAGCCCGCATGAACAACTTCCGACGAACTGTCCGCGAGGTTGTATACGTTGTTAAAGTAACGGAGCTGACAATCCATCAGCGGTTGAACGAGTTTAAAGCGACAGAGAGCGGAGACCTCACCGTCGACCAATTCCGCTCCGTCCAACTGGAGAATTCCCATGACCCACCTTCCTTCACTCAAGGGAAGAGGTTGAAACAGGCAATGAAGGAGAAAAGGCCCACTACGGAAATCGTAAGCGACGATGATGAGGATGGAAACACCCCAGAACCAACATCTTCCCCTGTGAACACAAGACGGGTAGATGCAGATGGCTTCGCTATCCCAGATGTGCCCATCGATCCCGCCCTGCTAGTCGACAAAGACGACTCCCCAGATTCCACAACCAAGACGAAACGCGGCCGACCAAAGGGCACCAAAAATTTCCGCCCCCCACCCCCAACAGAATCCGAACTAGCCTCCGAATCCGCCCTCGAATCCGAAATGCAAGAACTCCTCACAACAGGCTCGAACCTACTCGCCTCCACCAACACCACCTCTCAACCCACACCATCGACCAAACCCGCACCCCAACCCCCCAAACCCGTACCTTCCACACCTGACATTGACGCCAGCGAATTCGACTCCGACCCAGAAGTAAAGTACTGCCTGCTCTCCCCCGCCGAAGTCGAAATCAAAGAACGTATCTGGGTCCATGAGAACAAAGACTACCTACGCACGCAGCAGGCGAAAGCGCTCAAGCGGGCGTTGGCGGAGGAGGAGGATTTGATTAATGGTCGGGTGCCGGGTATTACCCGTCGACCACGCAAGCGGAGGAAAGGGAGGATGGGTGATGTGGGGTATTTGGAGGGGAAGGGGGAAAATGGCGAGGATGTGGATGGAAGAGGAACGAGGGCGTCGACGCCCGCAGAAGCTACGAGGCGGATGCTTGAGAAGAGAGGGTTTAGCAAGAAGATTAATTATCGGCTGTTGGAGGAGATGTATGAGGATGACGATGAGAGGAAGGGTATCAAGAGGAGGGAGAGTGAGAATGGGGAGGGTGGGGTTGGAAGGGATAGGGATAGAGATAGGGACAGGGGGAGGAGTAGGAGTGGGAGTGTATCAAGGAGTGTGCGGAGTAGCAGTGTATTTTCCGAAAGGAGTCTCGCGACTAGTGGTGCAGGTGGTCTTGGTATTCGGGGTCCCGTGAGAGAACGGGTTGTTAAGGCGATTAGGACGGGGACAACAACGGCTGTTACCGCTCCATCTACATCTACAGTCCCTGCCACAACGCCAGCGCCACTGCCAACACCATCTACACAAACCACCACCACCGCTACTACCATCGCCGCCACCGAAAAAGAAAAAGAAGCAGAAAAAATCCCAACCCCAACCCCCACAAACCCCAACGAAGAAATCCTCGGCTACATCCCCGGCCCCGACGCGAGCGAGAATCTCGACGCAGCAGGCATGGATGAAGACGACATGGACATGGACATGGACGACGAGGATGAGGATGAGGATGAGGATGCTGACCTCGACGATCATGTCGACGAGGCGTTTGCGGGCAATTATTACGGTGGGGGCGGCGCTGATGATGATGATGACGATTATTATTAGGTTTTTTTTTCGTTCTGTTTGTTATTGTCATTGTTGTTGATACCTGGGTCACCTCCCCCATGTATTCTAATAGAACCAGGGGGTGGTCGTGGTCTGGACATGAATCACTTTTGGTACATGTCCCTAGGTTAGCTACTCCGTAGTTATTGCATGTATGGATGCTTACTTAAACTCGGCCAGCTGGTTTGGCCCATCCATCCATCCATCCATCTATTGGACGCGAACCTGGTATTTATGAACGAATTTGAATTGTGAAGAGAACAATTCTTCACTATTATATATTTTAATTTCCATTAATTTTTGCTCTCTTGAAACTGAATTTTACTTCTATTTCCTTCAGTCATCCCTTTTTTTTTTTTTTTTTTTTTTTTTTTTTTTTTTTTTTTTTTTTATTTACTGTCAGTTAAAGTTTCTTTTCTCTCTTTTTTTATTTTTTATTTCTTATTTGTTTTTCATTTATTTTTCTATTTTTCCTTGATTTGGGTTTCCCTGTTCTCCGCTCATCATGAAAACCGATCAGAGCAAGAGAGAAAAAGTAGGGTAAAAAAGTACGAGGATTCCACTCTGCCCTGTTCCCGAGGAAGGGGAAAAAAAAGGCTAGTAAATAAAACAATAAACGAACAGAGCAAAATAACAGATAAACAAAATAGAACAAGAACGTGTTTGCAAAGGCTCCCGGGTGGAAGAAAAAAAAAGGGCAAGAGTGGAAACCGCCATGTCAGATACCAGATAATACGGTAAGATTCATATCAAATGAATAACAATAACGCATGTGAAGGAAGAAACAAGAATGAGAACGAGAAAACGGAAAATGGGAACAAGAAATAAAATGATACATAAAGTAGAACATGATGAGTTGTTTTGAAAGTGGATAGCCGTGCAGAAAGACTTGGCAAGCAGAAGAAAAAAGGGAAAAAAAAGAAAAGTTATTGGAACAAACCATAATAAAGAAACACACAATATCAACCCTCTTCCCAACCCGGGTCCAGAGGGAAAAGAGAAGAAGAGCGCGAGCGGACGAAGGATTCGGAACATGAACTTCGAAAAGGAGGGTCGGGCCCTCCGCTCATGTTGCGTCTGGTCGTGATGTCGAAAAGGTCGAATGAATATCCCGAAAAGATCCTATGTCGAAGCGAAAAGCCGTCAAAACACATAAAAACGCACCTTACGCGTCATATATAGAGTTTGTATCATTCGTCGTCGTCGTTGTTTATGTCACCAGTTGTCAATATCCATCCCCATCCCCACCTCCATATCCATACCCATACCCATCGCATTTCCAGCTCCATCTCCAACCCCACCACCACCAGCACCGTTAACACACCCAATCAACACCCCTTTATCCTCCATAACCCTCTCCACTCCTGTTTTTATCGACTCTACCGCCGACGCTGCGAAGGAAGCCCTCAAGAGCACTGACCCATCTTCATAACGAATGGGCACCTCGCGCAGATTCCTTATGCAGGAATCCCAATCATTACCCACTAGCCGCGCTTCAGCCAGGTCTTCGCTGAAGAGGTAAAAGCGTGATCCCATCCCATTGGCATCTATATTCGTGTTTGTATTTGGAACCGAAGAAGATGAAGATGAAGAAGCAGGAACCCGCCCTGCAACCAGAAACGCCCCGACCCCACGATGTCTGAGCAGAATTTCCGCCTGGGCAATCCACGCCGCGTAGTGGTTCTGTATATACCGTTCCCAGCCGCGGAGAGCGGCGGCGACGTCTTCGTCGTCTGTGCGGGAGACGCGTTGCCAGCTTATGCCGAGGAGGAGGGTGATGGAGTCGAGTTGTGGCTCCTGTGGGATCAGGGGGTGGGAGGAAGAGAATGAGGAAGAGGCGGGTTGGCGTTTGGGTTGGTGGAGCTGGTAGTTGCTATCGTGGTTTGGTGGTGTTGACGATGAGGTGGATTGAAGCTTGGTTTGGATTGTAGCCATGGTGTTGTCGTCCCAGGTAGATGCTGAGGAGGACGTATCTAAGCGTTGCGATTTGCGGCTACGTAGGTCTGAAGAAGATGATGGATGGTTGGGAGTTCCATCATGGTTGAAGGGGACCATGGCCTCGCCGTATGTTGGATCTACCTCTTCAATTGCAGGGGAAGAAGTGGTCGTGGAGCCGAACCCGCTATCGCGCTGGTCATCATCAATTGAATAGGGGGTGGAAGAGACGTAATCGTCACGCGAGCGTTTACGCGAAGGGTTCATTGTCAGCGGAGTGGAGGACGAGGAGGACGACGGAGAAGCAGGTTTCCAGGTAGGATTTTTGGTGGTGGTGGAAGGACTGGGGGCAGAAGCAGCAGCAACAGCAGAAGAAGAAAGGGATGTAGAGGAGGTTGAGGGTTTTGAATGAGTGGATCCGTTGATGTTCATGGCGGAGGAGAAGAAGGTAGAGCAGGCTGGATCGGTATGGAAGAATTCAGGAGATGACGATGAGGGATAGACGGCAACGGGACCGACTGGGAGGTTGTAGACGAGCGGATGGCCCATTTCAACCAATTTTCCTGGTGTACTTGTGTGTATTTTTGTAAGGAGGTTATCGGAAGTAATCTGGTTTTGGTTAAAGAAGAAGATGTAGGGCTTGAATATCAGTTGAGAGACGAGTGGTAGCAATAGTAGGAGTAGTAGTAGAAGTAGTAGCAAAGATGAAAGCTATAGCAACCTATAGAACAGGGTATAGTCTAGGTCAATATGAAATGAAATAAAAAATCAAGGAAGAAGAAAATTAAGAAGAAGAAATATGAAGTCGTAACCGAAAGACAAGATTGAGGGCTGGCAGCGTCGTTATGGGATGAGGAGGACAGGGAGTAGTGGGACAACGGGAAGCTGCGAGGAGCTTAGAGGTCGGAGCTATGTCGATCAGGTAGGTAGGGTAGGAGGTGTAGCAGAAGCACTACTGTACGGAGTAGAAGCGGAAGCAAAGGAAGAAGTAAGCAGAAAGAGAGGATGGGATGGGAAGGATATAAGTACACAAACAAGTAAGCGGCCCCTCAGCTGGGGGAGAGGAAGCCAGGTCACATTGAGTAAGAGAGAGAAAGAGAGAGAGAGAGAGAGAGAGAGAGAGAGTAGGAGGGAGTAACAATGAAGGAAGAAGGAAGGAAGATCGGGAGGGAAGGGAGAAAGAAGAAGCGAGGAAGAGAGAGAGAAAGAAAGAGAGAGAGGAGAGGAGAGGAGAGCGCTGCTTGCTAGCCAACCTTAGCGATGAGACAGCCAGCCAACCAGATCAAACCCTGGCCCAAAAGCGAGCGGCGAGCAGCACGAAAACCACACTAACCAGATCAGGCTAGCCCCTCCACGAGGGCAGAATGGGGCCCAGGTACCGCCAAGTTACCTCTCATCACATACATTTGCCCGCCAATAGCAAAGTACCTGCCCAGTTCCAGCTTGTCCAGGGTTGGGTGTTGCCCCACTCCCAGCCACTCGCGACGCTCAGGGCTTACTGCGTACTCCGCTCCGTACACTGTCCATGGATGATGCCTGCCATTGCCTCCGCGATAATTGGTTGGCTGGAAGGGATTTTCCCCCCGGAGCCTCGTGTCTTGCAGTTCCGCAGTTCCAGCTCTGCTTCTTGGCGGACGGCTACAGCTGGAATTGTACGGTTATCCGGGCTGGACGCCGAGTGAATGCAAACATGACAATTGGTCCGCTCATACAGACTTGTTTGACAAAACTTGTAATATTGGATTTTTTTTTTTCACTCCTTTAAAATGTCTAACAGATAACATAAATAACTCAGAAGAAATGAAAATAATTCTTTGAAAAACAATTAAAATCTAAAAAAAAAGGTAAAGGAAAATGAAAAAAGAAGTAAGACAATGAGAAGGGAATTAAGAAAGAAGATAAAAAATGAAATGAAAGATAGATAAATCTGAAGAAAAAGATGAAGACTTAAGATAGAACAAGAAGAGAATGAGAAGAAGAGGGAAGAAAACTAGGGAAATTAAGGATAAAATAAGAAGGGAATTAAAGAAAAGAGCAACCAAGACAAAAAGCAAACAAAAAAAGGGAAGTCTATTTATATTCATGATATTAATTATGTCTCCCCACCCGCGCCTTCCTGCCTAATAATCTGGCAAACATCCTATTCCATCCCATCGATTGCATAACACGTCGCGTAAAAAACTCGCCTGGGATCGGGGGGGGGGTCTTTCCTGCTGCTGCTGCTGCTGCTGTCGATTGCTGTGTATAAAACAACTTTCTGCGCGGTAGTAAATAGGCATGTGGGGTTGAAGTAAAGGCGAGGTTTGCGGTCGAGGTCGATGGGGTTTCCCGTGATGTAAATACCTGGTCTCAAACCATTCGTAGATGAAGACGAGGGGGAAAAATGAATAGAAAAGAAAACAAAGTAACTCCACCCGGCCCATAATCGTCCCCATCTCTTTTCAACTTCCAATGGGATTCAATCCACCTGTCCATTTCGATTCTTCCCAAACAACACAGCCTGGCCCACACTCCAACAATTGACTCCTGAAAAGGAACAAAAGTAAACGACACAATATGGCACACAATACCCCCGCACCCATATTAACACGTCTATGTATGTATCCTTAGGCATTAGGCGACCCATCAGCCAGACTAGCCCCACCCGAAATCATCCCCTGAACCAACCCTCTCGGTGACCCCATCACAACTAGCAATAACACTACAAACAAAAAGCTGCCTGCGATAACAATCAATCTGCGCTGGATGGGGTTTGCGCTGCCATATTCCGCCCATGTGCGATTGGCGTGGCTGGCGTATTCCTTGAATTTGTCTGCCCCGAGTTTGTAGTAGACCATGCCGCCGAGGGCGATGCTGTAGCCGAAGAGTTGGAGGGGGGTGACGGGGGTCTTCCAGTACGCAGCCGAGATGCTGACGAGTAGGACATCCTTTAGGACACCGCAGAGGGTGAGGACAAGGGAGGAGGTTCTGCCGATCTGTTTTAGGTTTTAGGTGGTTAGTTTAATACATTTTTCAAGAGAGGAGGTTGATGGGGAGATAGGGAAAAGTACGTACCAAGAACACGACAGAGACGTTGAGGAGGAATGCAACCATGGCATTCATGATTAGCGTAATGATACCAGCTCTATAGATATTATCCATAGACACATCTGGCGCTTCCAGGAAGAGTGAGACGATTCCATTCATGACCGCGCAAATGGGGGCGAAGTAGTAAAGCGAGACAAGGGGATCCATCTTAAACTCCGACGAGCTGAGTAGACGCTGGACCATGACGAGACGGATGGCCTCGAAGATTAGGCCGGCAATCTGATAGATGAAGCCGACCATGACGAATTGGATTTCTCCGAATGTGGCGATGACGACACCAATAACGATGAAGGAGACGTTGAAGAGGACTTTCATGTTTGGCGGCGCAACACCCAATGCCCAGGTAGCGAGGAGGGTTACGACGGGGGTGGTTGCCTTTTGGATTTCACGTAAGTATATTAGAATTAAGAGCTTGATACAAACCCTGGCGCGAAGGGTTCTAAACGGGGGGTTTGCGTGGGAGGCCTTCCTACCTTGAGCATTTGGATAAAGGCCACGCTAAGATACATATAGGTCTTGTTACCACAGATCAAGCTCAAGCTGAAGAAGAAGCCGATTGGCACAATGGCGCGCAGGTACACTCTTCCAGTCATCTTGACCTTCTTGCGACCGTCGAGTAAGGTGGTGGTCCGTGCCAGGATCTGGGTCATCAGGGAAGCGAAAGCCATATGCCATGTTGTGAGAATGACCGCTGCCGCATTGTGAGATAATGGTTCCACCATGTAATTTTTCTTGGGCCGGTTAGGAATACATACGGAATGCTAGTATCGATAGAAAGAATAAATTAGTCTTATCGTTCAGTTTTGGTATTCAAGATATCTAAATCTAGAGGGAACGAGGAGTTTGCGGAATGGAATGTAAAAGCATATGTCAAAAGGCGGGTGAATAAAACTCACGGAAAATGTTTTCTTTTGAATCAAGGAGTTTCTTGTTGAAGAGGATAACACTTGAGCTCAACGTAATCCACGTACTATAAATTGCCAATAGAGCGAAACAGTCAGCTTCATTGAAACCAATCCAAGAGTTATTAAGACAGGAAAGGCGAGAATAAAAACAAGAGAGTTCATCTCACATCACATAGAAAGCGGGATGGAACCCAGCCTGGGGCTCAGGGGTTGTCGCGAGATTGGAGACAGGCAGGACGGGACCAGAAGAGGACGAGGTCATCGAGGAATCGACTGAAGACTGCTCGCCTGACGTCCTCACTTTCTTCTCCCCTTCAGCACTCATGGCGATGGCGGTAGAGGTACGACGGACCTGGTCTGAGAGGAACCGTTGGAAGTCGAACGGTCGCGACCGGTAGAGGGGACTCTGACCAAACACGTTGGATGCCAGTTGGATGGTGTGTGGGATGGCGACAACGGGGGGAGGAGGTTAAGGAGGAGGAGGATAATGAAAGTGGGTAGAGCAAAAAAAGAAGGACAAGAAAAGAAGAAGCTATGAAAAGAGAATGGTTAGTTAATGGCAAGTTCAACAAGAGAGAAAAAAAAATATAAAAAAAAATAGGTCCAGAGGGAAGGGAGGCCAGTCAGTCAGTCAGTTCCAGGAGTCGAGGATCAGGCAGGCGTAGGATTGGCCTGGGTGGTTGGTCTCTGATTGCTGATTGTCTTGGCCCACTTGGTTACTTCCGATGAAATACGTACATACATTACTATATTTAAGGGGGGGCCAAAAAACACAACTGGTTTAGGGAGGAGAGAAAGCAGGGCAGCAGAGGGACACGAAGCTCAAGCTCAGTTAATAATAATCATGAAGAGTGAAGAGCGAAATAGGAGGGGAAAAAATATTATGGATGGATGGAGAAGCCAGAAGTACCTGGGTCTCTCTCTTCACGATGCATGGAATCTACTATACTAAATCTATCCCCCGTCGTCAAAACTTCTTTTTTGGCAGCACAAACCATTCTCCTTGCTAGTGACGTAATTTGAAAGTGTACGTTCTCTCTATCTTTTTGACTGGCGTACGGAGCAGAATGAGATGAACGAGGGAGATGTAATGTACTCACTCCAGCAAAAGAATCAGCGCTGGAAAAAAGAGAGGAGCTTGTTTCAAGAGGCACATTCGTTTGAGATATTCATAGCATTCATGGATCCATCCTGGCGAAGAATGATATTCCAGAAAACCGAAGGATGTTTCAACAGGGCCTCCCCCCGACTCCCCATGCCTGCCGTCCCCCATCCCATCCCTGTGTTACCGCCAGGGGAGTACGAAGTACCTAACCGCCTTGGCCATAGCTACCAAAACTCAATGGTTAGTTAACGACAGCTCTTCCAACCTTGAGAATGCGCTGCGAAAGTGTTTCCAAAATTATTATTGAAGGCGAGTTTGAATAACGAAACACAGTCCATGAACTCCCTAGTTAATCTGAATTGAATATTGTAGGTCTAGAGTTTCCCCAGTCAAAGGGTCATGAACACGGCTTTCTCTCTCTTTTTCAGTGAATGAAATCATCATAAATAAATACAGCAATTGAACAAGTGTCATCATGGGGATCGGCCAAGCTGTCTGTCGCAGGCTCCCAGGCTCCCAGGCTCCCAGGTTGTGACTTCACTCGGCACTCGCTCGCAGTGGGGGGAGAGAAGCCCTGAGCCAGAATTAATATGCACCAATTAACAATTATCCGCGCAATGCAGATCCTCCGGCTTGGCTGTTCATGTTCCTTATTGCTTATTGCCACAAGATTGGACATTGATTGGGACAGCAAGCTGCATACAGTACGGAGTACAGAATACATAAATGCCTCTAAAGTACTCAAGATTGACAACGGAAAAGCTCTTCTACCAAGGTGTGCCGTGCCATGTTTCAAGATAGTTGACCTCTATGCCTGACATATCTATATGGCCCTGTGCCTGGGAACTCTGGGATCTTAGACACACGGGGGGGATTGTTAAGTTACCCACAATGAAGAAGCTCAATCGATGAGCCAACAACCCTGGAAAATCGTCGAGGAAGATCAGCCCTCTCTTGCGTAAGCATGTTAGATGTCGTGCAGCATTTCATACCAAGCACGATACTTGGAAGCCGCCGGCACCACGCTGCACGCCCATAAAAAAGAGGGAACCATCAAGTACGGGCGGGACATACATAGTGATGATGATAAGACACGTCCACATCCACACGCACACCCCTCCCAATCTGATCTACGCTGCGTATGTTGCGGCATTGTTCAGTGGACCTGTGTATCCTCCAATACATCTGGCTCCGCATCCCCATAGAAAAAAGCCCATGGCTGATCGCAATATTTAGGGTTTGACGCCGTCCTGGAAACTGTCTGTGCTGCTGTGTTCCCGTTTCCGATATGAGTAACCAAGGTTTGTCGTCATAGCTCGTTTCAGAATAAAAAAAGCTTTTCGGACCCATATATATGTGTATATATATATATATATATATATATATATATAAAAGGAAAGAAAATGTAATGTAATGTACATACATGTAATGTACATGTACAGTACAATAATCAACTCATGGGGCCATGAGACCACGGATGGATAAAAAGGTACGCGGCTGCGGGATGATGGGGAAAAGATAACCTTCCATAAAAGATCCACACTGTTCTTCATCCTCAATGCACAACGGTTTTAAACATTCGCCTTCTCCTCAAAACTGAAAACAGGGGCAGGGACTCCACGAAGACAAAAATGCAGACAGAGTTCTGGCGGGACCGCCAGAATGGGGAGGAGGGAGGAAAACCCCTGGACCCGTTGGACATGGCCGTGGCTGCTAGGTACCTCACACCATCTGCCGTAGAGGAATATCCCACAAGCCGCCATGGATGTATGTCCCTGACCCTGACGCTGAGCAGGGCTCATGGCCCACGGCCCGACGGCCAATATTCACCATACCATTGCAGGTGGCGATCATTTATGGAGCGCAGTTTTCCCAACAGTCTGCAAACCAGGTGCTGCAGGGCCACTCGGCGGGTGGTGATGGTGATGACGATGATGAGACGATGATGAGATGGTGTTGATGACGACGACGATGATGATGATGATGATGATTAAGAAGATGATGAATATTTTGAACTCTCGTGTTACTGTCTGCAGGTTGCTTTGATCATCGCGTTAAAGATCTCCTCCATCTGCCATAGCCTATGTAACCGACGATTCTCCATAGACTGTGTATGATATATGGGATTGGATGAATTTGCATAAGTTGATGTGGCAACTATTGTGATCGTTCAAGCAAGGGGAGGAGGATGTGCCAATACAACTAACTATTTGTACGGAAGCAAAAGTGAAGATATGCTGCTCTTTGCTTGTGTTGCTAGGCTCTCTCTCTCTCTCTCTCTCTCTTTTTTTCCCCCTTGACCCCATTGATTCTCTCATTCATTGGAATTCATTGGATGCTGAATGAATGTCCACAAGAGCAGGCGAGTAACAATTCGCCGGGGAGGATAATGGTTGTAGAAAGCTGTATTGAACTTGATATACTCCGTACACAGGATGTATTGGTTCAGAAATGTCCAACTTGAGTCTTTTTCGGCCAGGATGCACCAGGTTTTGAGTGAAAAGTATCTCCCAAGCACAAGCACCTATGAAATGTATTTTCCCCCAAGAAGGGCTGATTGTGGTCAATAAGAAGCAGCAAGCGGTCTCTGAAAATCATGGATATCTAGATCGCCCTGCGCTGCGTACAAACATAGTCCCGAGTCATCTTTTGCCCATATTAAGGTTTTAAATACTTCTAAATATCCGCGCTAGCACGATGCTTCCTTGCTCGAATCTCGTCGCCAGCGCATACACCACACCACCACACACCACACACCACACCACGGGCCATGATCCTTCGCCCGTTTCCCTTTCCCTGTCGTTAAGTTAGTAGTTATTATTGTTTCTCTTGTTACTTAATTGTCCGCTCTCATTGCCCGGCTGCGTGTTGTTCTTTTTCACTTGACATTAAAATACATTATTAAATATACGCGCGTTCCCTCCCCTCCCCTCCCCTCCACTCCCCTCCTCCCTCCTTCTCTTCCCCCCCGGTTCCACCCAGCTATTTTGCATACAGCTACAAGACCGCCCTTGACAAGAACAACACTTACAACAACTCCAGATACTCCCCCCCTCTTTTTTTTTCTTCTGTATTTTCATGCTCAGTCTCGCTCGCAAAACTCTGCAGCGCGTGCCCAGCTTCCAGGATATTTTACAAGGCAGAATGACACACCCAGATATGTATGTGCGCATTTGGCTCTTCCCCCCTTATCCTCTCTCTCTCTCTCTCTCTCTCTCTTTTCTCTTTTAGTTTTTTTTCAATCACTAACCGGCTGCCATATAGCTCAGTCGATGTCCTGGTCATCGGGGCTGGTCCCACTGGTTTAGGTGCTGCGAAGCGCCTCAATCAGATTGTACGAGCGTCCCCTCACCTTAAAACCCTTCCTAGACATTGAGATATTTCTATAGAGATATATATATGCTTCAATTTTGCTAACACACCTGTGTTCCTCAAAAATAGGATGGACCATCTTGGATGATTGTGGATTCCAATGAGACCCCTGGCGGTCTGGCCTCTACAGATGTTACCCCGGAGGGATTCGTGAGTTTCATACCTTTCTTCAGCAAATTTAACCCCCCCCCCCGTCTTCAATTGACTACACTTCCATTTTTAATAAGTAAGGCATGCTAATTATCCTCAAATCAACAAACAGCTATATGATGTTGGCGGCCACGTCATCTTTTCCCACTACAAATACTTCGACGATTGCATTGACGAGGCCCTGCCCAACGAGGACGACTGGTACACTCACCAGCGCATCTCGTATGTCCGCTGCAAGGGCCTCTGGGTCCCCTACCCGTTCCAAAATAACATCTCCATGCTTCCCAAGGAGGACCAGGTCAAATGCTTGGATGGTATGATCGACGCCGCCCTTGAGGCCCGCGTTGCCAACACAAAGCCCAAAGACTTCGATGAGTGGATTCTCCGCATGATGGGGAGTGGAATTGCAGATTTATTTATGCGCCCTTATAATTTTAAGGTCTGGGCTGTGCCTACGACTAAGGTATGTGAAAAAAAATATATTCCCCAATTTTTTTTTTCTTTTTTTTAAATATATATATATATATATATATACTTTTCATTTTTGTATTTTTTTTTTGCAGTTTTGATCAATAACGAGGCATCCCGCTGACTCTACCTGCTACTACTATTAGATGCAATGTGCCTGGCTTGGCGAGCGCGTCGCAGCGCCCAATCTCAAGGCTGTGACCAGAAACGTCGTCCTACAAAAGACCGCCGGTAACTGGGGTCCCAATGCGACTTTCCGCTTCCCCGCCCGTGATGGTACCGGTGGAATCTGGATTGCCGTCGCAAACACTCTGCCCAAGGAGAAAACTCGATTCGGCGAGCACGCCAAAGTCACCCAGGTCAATGCTGGCAATAAGACCGTTGTGCTTGCCGATGGCACTACGGTCGGCTACCAGAAGCTCATCTCTACCATGCAGGTGGACACCCTTGTCGAGCAGATGGGGGATAAGGAGTTGGTCGATCTGAGCAAGGACCTCTTCTACTCCTCCACCCACGTCATTGGTGTTGGTATCCGTGGTGAACGACCGGAGAGAATCGGCGACAAGTGCTGGGTATGTCACCGTCCTCCCCCTTGTACATCTATCTCCTACATTAAAAAATAAAAATACTAACTTCCAACCCTCCAGCTCTACTTCCCCGAAGACAACTGCCCCTTCTACCGCGCCACAATCTTCTCCAACTACTCCCCCAACAACCAGCCATCCGCCGACAAAAAGCTGCCTACCCAACAACTCGCCAACGGCTCCAAACCCTCCAACCCTTCCCCACAGCCAGGTCCATACTGGTCCATAATGCTCGAAGTCTCCGAATCCTCCCTCAAACCCGTCAACGCCGCCACCATCCTCGCCGACTCCATCCAAGGCCTCATCAACACCGAAATGCTCAACCCCACCGACGAAATCGTCTCCACCTACCACCGCCGCTTCGACCACGGCTACCCCACACCGTCCCTCGAGCGCGAAGGCGTCCTCACCCAGCTCCTGCCGCGCCTGCAGGCGCAGGATATCTGGTCGCGCGGCCGCTTCGGCAGCTGGCGGTACGAGGTCGGCAACCAGGACCACTCGTTTATGCTCGGCGTCGAGGCTGTGGATAATATTGTCAATGGCGCTGTGGAGCTGACGTTGAATTATCCGGATTTTGTCAATGGGCGGCAGAATGGGGAGCGGAGGCTTGTTGATGGGGCGCAGGTGTTTGGGAGGGAGAAGAAAAACTAGATTTCCTTTTTACTGTTTTTACTGTTTCTTTTTTCTTTTTTCTTTTTTCTTTGTACCCTTTGCAGAAGTGTAAAAAGGACTACGTAGGTGTTTTAGAAGGTTGGGCGTGGTGGTGTTTAATAATATAAATTAGAATGAGGGCCCGGAGAAAGAAGTGAGGATAAACAAATAAAAGAAGAAAGAAGAAAGAAGAGAGAAGAGACATCTTTAGATATCGTAGATATACATACATATATGGGAGATTTGGCCTTGGGGGGTTACAGTACATGTGGTGTGTGTGGTGTGACAAGGCTTTTTTTTGTTTTGTTTTCCCCTTTTTGTTCTGCTTTTAAAATAATAATTAAAAGCTATGAGCTACCATATGCTCTTGCTGGCATAATAATGACATTGCGAGCAGATCTCTTTCCAAAGACACAAGAACACTCTACTTGATATGAAACTTGATGCGCTAACTAGCCAGGTATGGTATCATCAGCTCGTTGATATTGATTTCACATTTAACAACAGCAATAACAACAAGAAAAATGAGAAAGAAAGGAATAGAAAAAAATAGAAAAAAATACAAGTGAGAAGATAAGAAGAAACTAAAAGAATGACAGCAGTAATAATATAAGGTCTCGAGCAAGAGCCAAAGAAGTCATGAATCATAATTCCATAAATCATGAAAAAAACATGCGCTGAAAAATATAACTGCAAATGCATACCACCATAACAGCCAACTATTTAGTTAATCAACCTAAGCACAAATGAATTCTGCTCCTCAATAAAATTGAACAAGAAGAAGCCTCACAAAGAAAAATAGCACCATACAACCACTGCAGAAGGAACAGAAGGGGAGAAAAAAGGAAAGGAAAAGAGAAAAGAAACCAGTGAGAGAATTCCGAAGCCATTCTGATAACTACACCTTCCTCGAGAAAATTTCTTCCATCACTGACCTCATGCCTAAAACAAATGTACATGTCATACATGTACAATGCAAAAGAGGCTCACGTTTTGAAATGTGAAAATTAAACGTGACAATGACCTTCTGAATTGAGCCGTCTAACCTTCATTGTCCATCAGTGTAATGGCATAGTGATCACATATTATTAGGGCCTCCTCCAGGGTGGCTAGTAGGATCAGGAGCCCAGTTGAATTGCTGAATTCGCCAGCGCACACCCAGAGGCATCTGGAATGATCCCGCAGGCAGCCGACTTGTCACAGGCTCACTAGCATTGTTATCGTGCACCTGTTGGCCTGCTTGCTGGACTAAGTATCCGTGCCCTGTTGGATATGCTGAATTTGTGGTTGGTTCAGTATATTGTTGCTGCTGTTCCTGGTTCAAAGCCTATAAGCTCGTGATCATTTAGTTAAACAGCTTCTCGGAAGCCATATTAAACAAACCTGCAAAAAGGATTACATCGATAAATCATAGACTGACCGGACTTGGTGGAATAGGGTTCCTGACAATGCCGCCCAAGGGTACATGATAGTAATTTATGCCTGTATGACGGAGTGGGATTGCAGGCTGCGGCTGGTTCGCTGGAGTCAATACTGGGTATGTGGGAGTCATTGGCTGCAGGGTCAACCAAGGCAATGTAAAGAACGTATAGGATTGTGGTACTTGCGGCAGCCCAATCGCTTCCTGGGAAATTCTCTCGATTTGAGGGATTTGGTCTGCAATAGCTTTTGGTGCAATAAGAAGGATTCGGCCCGTGCGCGTAACAATGCTTGAGGATGCAATTGGATAACCTTGAGTCGGGTTCCTGGAAGTTGATACGGTGCTGACACCCTCCACACTAGATGCCGGTGTCGCAGGGGATTGATCTGGGCTCGACGATCCGCTTTGGGAGGCCTGGGATGATGCTACCTCTTCAGGAGCTACTTGAGGCAACATATTAGCGTCAAAGTTGCGGCCCATTTTGATTGAAGTAGCTAAATACTTCGATACAAATTGGTAATGTTGAATGAGTATTTATTTGGGTACAACGTATATGGTAGTCAAACAAAGAAAGATCCCAATTATGGAATTCATGAAACGTGAAAAGTTGTGCAAGGAAAAAGAATCTTCGAGGGCTTCTGTGGACAAGAAAAGATATTTATACCAGAAACCAAGCGGCTTACCTACCAATTGAATCAAATCCGTAGCAAGAGAGTGAAGTTATTGCAGAAGCGTAGCTGTTGTCAGGTACCCCCTTCGGGCAATGCCACTGACATTGAAAGCAGTTGACATTCGAAACTTTCTTAACAGTTCGACTGTTGTCACTGCCACAATTGGCATCGCTGGTGGCAGGGGACTGGCCAAAGTGATTAAAAAATGGATCGATTCCGTAGAGGCTTGTTGTAAGCTCCCGGCTGCTGCCAGGGTTGGATGAGGTAAAGCCATCCTGACTTTCACTTTCCAAATCGGTATCCTGAGAGTGTGAAAGTGAAGGTGTAGATGCTATAGATTGGAAGTACGGGGAGCTGCAGCGCGCGGACCTTGGCGGAATTGGACCCGTAATAGCACATCCCAGAACTGGAAATGCTTTGTTCGACTCTTCTGAACATAGAAAAATATCTGAATAAAGAGCATGACACTTTAGCGGAGGAAATCCTGGCGGTATTAGAAATGATGCCATTGGCTTCATTGGGTAGAACGGAGTCGTTGAAAAGTCATCTCCCCGCTCCTGGCACAAGTTTCCACCAACAGGCCCAGAAGACGAAGCAAACGGACCAAGCCATATGGATGGTGAAAGGAATGAGGTAAAGCTCAGCGTTATTGTTTCCAATTGCTCAGCCAGACGAGTATCATCAGTCCCGGAGGGCGGAGCCTCTTGGTGGCCAGGAGATAGCTGATGGTGCTCTGTCTGTGTCTCTTCGGATGAGGTCTTTCGTTTACCCTTACCACTACTGAGGCTGGGAGAGCTGTCACAATCATCAGGGCCACAATCTGTAAACTCCTCGAAGCTACTGGAATCAAGGGCAAGAAGAGGAGAATCCATGGGCGCCGCTTCTGATGAGGACTGACGCTGTCGATGTGGTGATACATGTAGATCTCCACCTCTTTCGAGAATTCGAGCAACCAGAATCCTCTGGACACTTGAATAGATCTCGTCGTCCGAGGGGACAATGTGAGTTGGACGTAGTCGAAACATGGTTACAACAAGCCATGCACAATGCTGTTATGATCCAAAGCAAGGAATATAAAGAGGCACAGGAGAGCACATGGGATTCAGCAGCGACAGCAATGGATTTGTTAAAAAAGAAATACCCCGACCAGGAAGGGTATAGAAAAGAAGGGAAAGAAGCCATGTCAACAAAGAACATGGTGTTGTTACTGCTACTTCCCTTCATATTAATTAGATTGTCGTTATCATAATGGATGGATTGGATTTGCGTCCCCATTCTCTGCGGCAGGCGCAGGGCGATCCCCGATAGGGCTGAAGTTCAGCACGCACAAGCGCACAAGGTAAGCATAGTGAAAGAAACAAGCCAAGGGCGAGACACCCTTGGTAGCCTTGGGAGTCCACCACCTGGCATGGCTTGGAACGACTGCTATATATAGCAATTCCTGCTTGGATTTGTTTCGTTCCAGAAGAATGTGTCCCAATAGCGTTCGGAGCGAATGTATGTTCTGTATGATTGAGGTCAGTTCTCTTGCTGTATGCAGATCTAAGACAAGCCGATAGAGTCGAGGTGCCAATATCCAGTGTGTGCACTGCGTGTACTTATAGGTATATCCCATCTGTTGCTGGAAGAGAGTATACGTGTATCAATCTCCTGCTGAATCTCCATTCTGCCATCAGCATGGATGCCAAGACGAACCTGTGACAGAAACAGAGAACGGTTTTAATACGGTATGTAGATTACAAAATTTGAAATCCGGGGTAATTTTAGAGCAAACGGACAGCCAAGTGGGCGTGCTATACCGTACGGTCTTGTCACATAGATTACCATGTCACCACTGATCTTGTATTTGATACACATATCTTGGTTGGGCTAGGTACCGCTGCCATCAGCGCTGTTCTCCTCACCCAACGACCGCCGCCAAACCTCCAAGAAGAAGAACCCAATATCTCACTCACACATAACCATCAATCAATCCTCGCTTCCGAGTCCTTCAGCTCAACCTCAACCCCGTCTCCCTTGTCTCCCGTTGCAATTTTCTCGCCCTCTGTCTCTGCACTCCGCGGAATTGCCTTCTTTGGAACACGACTTCTCTTCCTCCCCTGGGTCTGCTGCTGGACTGCACTCCAGGATTGTCTTTCTCTGGCTGTATCGTGCACCTGTCATGCCTTATAGGTCGTTCCAACAACCGGCGTAGTCTCTATTTTGTGAGACCACTCATCTGGTTAATTATTCCGCACTTTCGTCTATCCTCCCGGTGTTTGCCAGCCCCTTGTTTCACTTGACTGCCACGTCTCTCTCCCCACTCGTTTTCGCACCCTTCTCTATCCTACACCACGGAACTCCTCTTGCCCATATCCCTCCTTGCCATGGATGGGGATCTAAGCCTATCGCAGTCCTTTGGGGGCCTGCGGATTGCAAACCCAGACGACTCCTCGGCCCAGGCGGTAGACAAGGCTCCAGCATCTCCATCAACACTTCCTCCCCGAACGGATTCGCCTGCCATGGTCGATGAACGAGTTCCCCCTCAACCTGAAATCAACGCCCATTCATCCTCTAGAACCCAAGACTCTTCCCCTCATATCCAAAATAACAGATTATCGGTTGGTTATGGATATCAGAACCCCCCGGCCCCACAGCAGCCGCAGCACCAGTATCCCCAATATGCTGCAGCCGCTTCTCAAACCTCAACCTCCCCTGGCCCCCAAAATCCTGGACGTCCACTGTCGGTATACTATACACAACCCTTGACCAATGGGTCGTCTTCAAATCTGGCTGCTAGGGAAGGATATCGACTCCGTACAGAGTCCTCTGCCTCATCCGCCTCTGACAGTCAATCACGATCGGATTCTCGTGGTGGATCCGCAGCTCTGCAAGCAGGAGTCCCAGTACACGACAATAGCCATTCCGATAGATCCTACAAACAGACACAATTTCATAGCGGGAGCGCCCCACTGCCACCCAGGGGGAGCTCTCGAGCAACACATAACAATGGAGCTTCCCCGCTCTCCGGTTCTCCGTATGGCTTCGAGATTGTCGGGCTATCCAGCAGTGAAGAATGGCAGGAGCGTGGAGCGGCTGTTGGTGTACGGCAAGAAATCGACGCGAATGGCAAATCCGTTTCGAGATTCGTGAAGAAAGGCGTTAGAGACTTTTCCTTCGGCCGCACGCTTGGTGAGGGATCATACAGTACAGTAGTTGCAGCCACTGATCGCCAAACCTTAAAAGAATACGCCATAAAGATACTTGACAAACGGCATATCATCAAGGAAAAGAAAGTGAAGTATGTTAACATCGAGAAGGATACACTAAACAGATTGACCGACCATCCCGGTGTTGTTCGATTATACTATACATTTCAGGATGAACGATCTCTATATTTTGTCCTTGACCTTGCGAGCGGAGGAGAGCTATTAGGGGTGTTGAAACGGATGTCGTCGTTCGATGAAGAATGCACTAGATTCTACGGGGCGCAGATTCTTGATACCATTGACTACATGCACAAACGTGGGGTTATCCATCGAGATCTTAAACCGGAAAACGTACTACTTGACAGCCAGATGCATGTGAAGATCACCGACTTTGGCACGGCTAAAATATTGGATCGTTCCAAGAGACAGGAGGAAAAGTCGAGTGGTATGCCACAGATGGACTCTGATGGCCCTACCCAGGATCGGGCCAATTCCTTCGTAGGAACTGCAGAGTATGTCAGTCCAGAACTCCTCACAGACAAGAGTGCCTACAAGGCAAGTGATTTGTGGGCCTTTGGATGTATCATCTACCAATTATTAGCCGGACGACCTCCGTTCAAAGCTGCGAATGAATATCAAACATTCCAAAAAATTGTTGGCCTCGAGTATGAGTTCCCTCCAGGATTCCCGGCAGTTGCTCGAGATTTAGTTGAACGGCTCCTTGTGCTTGACCCGTCTAGGCGCTTGCAAATCGAACACATCAAAAACCATGAATTTTTCGACGGCATCGTTTGGGGTCGTGGCCTTTGGAAACAAAAAGCACCACGTTTAAAGCCATACGTTCCGCCACCACCAGAGCCAATCAAACTAAACGGTACCAGTAAGGACGACAGTTTCCCCCCAAACATCACAATTAAGGGCGTTGGATCTTCTGGTAACCCAGGAAACGCAAGGCCATATCCACGCCTTGTTACTGATCTCCCACCTCCTTCGCAACTTGATATTGAGTGGTCTCCCGTTTTGACTCGCACAAACGAGCGTATATTGAAAATGGGCAATTTGGTTGTTTTGTCTGCGCCTGCTCCTCACAATGGACACGGAAAAGGTGGACATGGCGACGGTGATGCCCCCAAGAAGTTTTCTCGATTTTTCGGAGGGAACACGACTAAGAAGCGTCAGCGATTAGTTATGGTAACCTCTGCTGGCCGCGTCATTATCGTGCCCGCTGGTGGAGAGGAAAAGAAGGCAAAAATGGATATCTCTCTCCTAGCGCCAGGCGCACAATATCGATGCACCACGGATGTAAAAGGCTATTCATCATGGGTAGTAGATACGGTAAGAACAACTTCCCCGGTTAGTTATAGCTTGATCGTTTGTTAATTTGATTTTTCTACTTTTTACAGCGCGACAAACACTATGTTTTTGAAGACTCGAAACCATTCTCTTCGGATGTTGCAGCATCTGCTCTTTCTACACAAGAATGGATAGATACGTTAGATCTTGCCAAAGAGATGGCGGCATTCCAAGCGTCGAATAGTTCCTATGGCGATGATACGTTGAGGGACCTATCGTCTGGTGTTTCGAGCCATGCAAACACCATTGATCGTTCCGATGATTTCTCCGCCAATTCCAACGCGCCACAAGCAAGTGGACGAGCCATGCTTGTCAAGCATCATGCCGCAGGTGATTCGGAATCCGTGAAGGGGAAGAAACGATTCAGTCGACGCCACTCAAAGAACGGATTGTCTGCTGTTTTCTGACACTCGTTTTTGAACGGAAGATAGAACCCCCCAAAAAGAGACAAGGAAGAAAAGGAAGAGCGTCCTTAGTTTCATATTCTTTGGCCTTTTCCGATTAAACATACAATACCCCCACCATATTTCCCTATTGAACAGCGTTCTAAGTCTCACATCTTTATCTGCCGCTTCTTCATTTAGTTCTCTTTTTCCAGCCATGTCTTCTTCCGTTCACCACCATTCATACTCTCAGGCATTTGACAGCGTATACAACTCACACCCGCCCCGTTTATATACTTTTCTCTTCGCTCTTTCTCTTAACTTCTCATATCTTTCTTGTCTGACTCAAATCTGGTTTAGCTCTGCCCCTCCTTTTCTTCTTCTTCTACTCTTTTTTAATTCATGACCCCCCCTTTTTTTTCCACTTCTCATACCGTTCTAGCGACGATTCATGACATCTCTTTACACGCTTCCGCCCAGATTCCACCTTGGGTACTTTGAAGTTTTCGCGAAGCGTTTTAGTGTGTGGGGCGTTTTCGAATTATCCAATATACTTTCTCCCCTCCCCTTCACCCTACTTTTATATAATTTCCTATTACCCAGTTTGCATTTTTGGCTGGAAAGATATCGTTTACATTTTCTCCAAGTGAAGTTTCCATGAAGTGAATTATACATATCGTACCATATTGGTCTCTCTTCTCTTCACTTCTCTTTGATTGCTCGTCATTTTTTCTTTTACTTTCCCTTAATTTCACCGGTGTGCGCGTTTTGTATGTTACTCCCAGAGCATTCCTACTTTTAGAGAATGATTATAAGCACTTTAGCTGCTTGTTTTCGGTTTTTGTTTGATTTTCTCTATTTTATCCCACCTATTTTTTTGGCCCCCTACCATTGTTTTTAATGCACATGATACACTCTAGCTGATATTTGATGTCGGTCTATTTTATATATTCTATCTTCATTTCATTTCACGTCTGGTGAGATTCCTGCCGGGAAAATTGGACCTGACTAGGCTTGGATTCTTTTTTTTTTTTTTTTTTTTTTTTTTTTTTTTTTTTTTTTTTTTGAGGTGGTATTTTAGCTTTGCTGTACGGAGTACAATGTCCTTGATCCCTTCTCATTTGGTTTTGATTTTATGTGGATATATACCTGATCCGATAATGCAACTTGTTTTAATTTCCCTCTAATCTGTCTTCCCTTTTGAGAGGAAGGGGAGAAGAAAAATCCACCCTCAAGAAAAGCCACTAACTAACGTTTTCCATCCTTGATTCTATCCTTCTCCCCAGTTGCAGATATATGACATCACATCATTTTTACAGTTAGTAGATCACGTTATTAACAGGACTTATGCTAGTTTTCATTGCAAATTCTATAAATTAGATATAGCTACATAAATTCAGGGCTTTGGAGATGTGAAATGCTTTTCAGAATCTAAATATTATATCTGGTTCCAAGGTTGCATACGCTGCGTATGTAGCTTCCTACATCTAATTCCGCTACTATTATTTCCCCATCACTAGCCACAATGTTTGAACTTCCCACGGAGTCCTCAGTTTCACGGGAATGAGATTATTGCTGGTTTGTTTCAAGATGCACCAAGCCGGGGTCCCGTTTCTGCCTGTCTGGTTGAGTCCCCAAGCCAGCCCAGGTTTTTGTTGCTCTTTGACGCTCCTGACGGGGACGACGGGGGAGGTTTGTCTCACATGTGAGAGAAAAGGCAAAAATCCCAGCCCATCCCAGCCTGTCTGTCATAGCTGTCATTGCCCTGTCAAGAGCGGTTTTCTCGTGTGGTGATAGGGTAGGATGATGGTCAACAGCCTCGCCACTCAGCTCGTCTATTTAGTTAAGCTAATTGGGAGATTTTACTCTTTAATGGCGGGATGGGATGGAGGCTGAGCAGGTTGAGCTCCTCTTCTTTTCCTTCATCATGCGCTGAAAATCTCTCTGCTCTGGTGGTCTGCTCTGATTTTGTGAAAAAAGAAAGAGGAGCGACCCCTGTGTGTGTACAGAGTTATTTGTTTGTGTTGTGGCTCGAGGTGTCCTTGGCCCTGGCGGGCGTGGATAGTATTTAGTTAAATATTGCCTGTTATCCACTCCACTATCAACAGCGACGGGATGCTGAGACAAGACAACCGACCCGGGACTAAGACCGCGCAAAGCTGTAACTAAATCGCTGCAGTTGGGTCCGCCTCGCGTCTGCGTTCTCTGTCAAATCCCTTTCCTTGACAAGAACCTGCTGGGCATCGTTGGGATTGACTCGCTCGAGAAACGTTTGAACGCCTGAAGAACCGGATTCTGCTGCTCCTGAGCGCTATCCCACCCATCAGGAGCGCATCCTCACCGTGTCTGTCTGTGACAACTCTCGCCGTCCCTCCAGGTCGAGGATCTCCCTGTTTCGGTCTCTTTTTTTACTGTTTCCTCCTGTGAATAAAGCATATCTTATCTTACATATTGACATTTTCTATCTATCCCTAATACACAATAAACAAATACATCCATTCCAACCAGACCCATGCCATGTGCTCCAACTTGATGCGATGCTCCTCCACCTTTCCCGTCCCTCAATAAATCGAGCCTCCTCCAATCCTCCTGAACCTCGAACAACAAGGACAGCAGCCTCATCAACTTCACCAACCTCACCTACAACGGCAGACATGGTATCCCACCCAGACACTCCCGGCCGCGCCTTGACAGTCCCCGCCCCCACGTCCGTCGCTTCCTCCTCACGCGTCTCCCACTCTCATCGCCGTCACCACGGTTATTCCCACTCCCAACATCAACATTCCCGCTCCGGCCGCTCACATCATGGTGGTTCTACTCGCCAACCTCAAAATCAATTCCCTATCTTCGCCGCGACGGGAGATGTCGAGATCGTCATCCGTGCATCAGCGCAGGAAAGGCGCTATTTACTCCATCGCCTGATCTTGGCGCGTTCTTCGGGCTTTTTTGATGCGGGCACGAGTGAAGAGTGGTCGCGGGTACAGGCGGTGAGAGAGGCCCATATGGTAGAGGGGGGTGATACGAACGACAATGGCGATTCTAATGCGGAGCGCGGGCTAGCAATTATTCCTGATGAAGATGGGGGCGGAGAAGAATTTGTTGCGCATCATCGGCGTGCTTCGTCGGCACCCTTGAAGACGCGGTGGAGGTATGAATTGGATTGGGATAATAGGGAGGAAGATGAGATGCCGATTCTTGTGCAGAAGGTGAGATGAAAATTTTCATTTACGTCAAGAAAATAACACATCTCTGTATATGCTGATATCACCCGCAGCCACCATCCCAAAACAACTCGATATTCGGCGGAAACTATCGCCCACCCAAACCCCCACCCGCCCGCACAAAACCTCCCCCACCACAACAAGGCTTCTTCCGCTCCATCACCAGCCTTACCGGAATCCAATCCGCTCTCCACCTTCCAAGCACCACGACATCAACTTCAGTAGCAAAGACCGCCATCGAAGAAACCCCCCTTGACCCCACAATCTGCGACTATGACAATCTCTTCCGCATCTTCTATAACTATCCTCCACAGCTCAACGCCGTAAACATTGCCTCCGCCTATTCAGAATGTAAATCCCTCCTAAACCTCGCTGACATGTACGACGCCCTTCCTGTTGTGGGACCCCGCGTCGACCATCACCTCCTGCGCTTCTCATCCCGTCTGTACAAGCAAATCGCAAAATATCCCCCCAGCTACCTACGACTGGGCTACCTAGCCCGAAGCCATGTAATATTCACAGAAGCCCTAATCCATGTTGTGGGCCAATGGCCCGCCGCGCTACCACATTTGGGTCATGGTTCATACTCACCCCTACCGGACCCCGTGCTAGATCTCATTGAGGATAAAGTAGAGGATCTAGAAGATTTGAAAGCGCGTGTGGAGGCGAAGTTGTTCCGATTATCACTAACGACCTCGAGAGGAGAGCGGGTTAGCCCTTTCAATGCATATCTGGATTGGTTAGCGGTGTCGCTGTTTCGGCAGTGGCTTGTGGAGAACACAACACCCCCCCCGGCAGGGATATTGAAGGCGTTGTCGTCACAATCGCAGTCCCGAGGAGGAGGGAATAGCAATTATAGTACCGGTAGCGGCGCTCTCGCGACAAGCAATGGCTACGGCGATACTAGCACCGTGACAGCGGCGAATTCAAATAATAACAGGAATAATATACCCACAACCACGAGCACAACAACAACAACAACAACAACCATGACTAGCGCAGGCGCTTCTAATAATAAACATTATAGTCAAATCACCCCCCCTTCCTCCCCTTACTCTCCCGGCCGCACATACCGCCTTCTCGGCTCCCCTTCAAACCAGGCATACCTCCCGCACGAGGAACTAAAGAGATTCCTCAAACAGTCCCATACAAATTCGCATGACTCGCTTTACTCGCGCGAGAATCTGAAGAGATTCGAGCGCAAGATGGATGAAATTAAGAGACTGGCGAGAGATATTGTGAAGCCGCTTATGAGAAATTTTCTGGAATTGGATTTGAGGAGTTTGAGCGGCAGCGGAACGGAAGATGCCGGAGGTGTTTTGCTGCCGTATTTGACGTGTACGAGGGTGGAGGATGGGGATTATCCGTGGGAGTGAGCTATATATCTGTATCTGCCTTGGCTTTCGAGTTGACAAGGTTTCAATTAGGGTGAGCTGTGTTGGGTTGGGTTGGGTTGAGGTGAGGTGAGGTGAGGTAAGGTAAGGTCAGGGTGAAGAGTTTGTTCCTTCTTTACGTCCTTTTCCTCCTTTCTTGTCTTTATTCTATTATATTTGTTCTACCTCTTTTTAATATTCTTCATGTGGACGGCGATATTACCCCTGAGTGGTTTTTTCATTTCATGCACTTCCCTTTTGGAGAGGGATTGAGTCTCGTCTTTTTTTCTTTTTTCCTCCAATTCATTTTGTTTTCTTGTGTCACTTCTATTATTTTCACGCGTTTTCCCAAACTGTGCTCACGAAACGAATATATGATATATACCCCCCCCTCCCACTTTAACTTCCCATCTTATCTCTCTACAAGCATCCCTCTTGTGTTAACTTCTTCCCTTTCCCCTTTTTATTTATTTCGTTGATGATTGGAACGCGACGTAAATGACTATTTCATATCTTGTTCTTTCCTTTTCTATTTCCTGTTAATATATGCAACATGATGATATCATATTATGGCATGGAGATCGATAGTTAATATGAGTTACCTTGGTAGAGGCAGGTAGTTGATCAGTCACACAGTGTAATCGATGTATGTATGTATGTATTTATCTAGACTATGAAACGGCAGAATGTTATAGGGAGGAGAGTTTTGAATGTAGAGTATCAATGTGTATGTATATACAGATTTTTTCTTTAAAACTCTGGATAAAAATATCTGTATATATGGGAAATAGAATGAAAACATACTCTATGCTTCTATCGTACATTTGAGTATCAATATTCCCTAGAATCTACTATTTACAATGTATACGCCCACCCAGTATCCATGGTATATATGACACAAATCTACATATCATACATCCTCAAACTCAAAAGGCCCCTTCACCCGTTCCCCTAAATAAATTCCAGCTTCGATTAACTCTCCTCCTTGCCCCCTATAACCCCTATTCCCCCCATCCACGTTCTCAGAACTTCTGGCAACACAACAACCCCCTTCTTCTCATCCCACCCGTGCTCCAACAACGCCGCAATAATCCTCGGGACTGCCATCGCCGTCCCGTTCACCGTATGCGGAAACTTCCCAGCACCACCATCACCAGCGTCAGACTTAAGCCTTGTCCCTAGCCGTCTGGTTTGGTAATCTGTGCAGATGGAGGCGGAGGTCACCTCGCCCCAACCTGATTCCACGTCAATGTCGTTGTTGCTGGTCGCATTGCTAGTGGCATTTTCGGTGGGCGAGGAGGAGTGCGAGGAGGCCATCCGGGAAGGAAACAGGACCTCTATATCCTGCTTGCGGGCGGCGCTGGCTCCGAGGTCATGTGCGGGCATCTCTAGGACGCGACACGGGAGATTTAGCGCGGTGAGGATTTCAGTTTGGAGCGCGAGGATGTCGTCGAAGAGGGTTGTTGCTGTTACCGCTGCACCCCCGCCCTTGCCATTAGATGCTGGCGTAGCCTTGCGAGTGGTACCTTCACCAGCAGAATCTGGCATCGCCCATCCAAACAGCTCCACCTTCGTAAATTCATGAACACGATACAGACCCCGTGTATCCGCCCCTCTGCGCCAGTTTCTGCCCTAAAAAC